TCCATGGCGATTAAACTGTATTCATGTGGTCTGAGCGCCATTCGCTTAATAATGTGCGCTCGGACCTGAGCTATCTGGGGATATGTTACATGTCTGTGTTTTATGTAATAAACGTGACTTTATGTATTTTAAAGTGTTTTGTGTCTTTTTGCAACCATGTGCTTAATGGAGTCTTGTGTCTGTCCTGGGAGATAATTGAATTACTCTCCAGGATAGAAGACTCTGAAACTGGTTTGGGCCAGAAAGCCATGCTTCATTTAGTCACAAAGGACTTTTTTACTAACTTTTGAACCCCTTGTCTGATTTGTGCCATTTTTGAATATGTTGTTCCCCTGAATGGATTGATTGTGCATATGTAATTTTATGTGAATGTGATGTATGGTTTTAGAGTTATGAAAGTTGGGTAGAAAGTATGTTTTAACTGTATGTATAATTGAGTTTCCTCTCAGGATAAGGGGAGGGAATATGTGGGATGTAACCGTGATGTGATTGGTTGTTTTATACCTCCCTGTGGGCGGTCCTGTATTTGCAAGACTGTAATAAAAACCAGGCTGGGTGTGCCAGCACCTCAGACCACTGCTTGACCCTCAACACGGAGCCTTGTCTCGTTCTTGGGGGGATTCACTGTATGCTGTTAGAGACTGATTGCCAGGAGTGTAAGCTGTTCGTCTGCTTTTCCTGTTCGTCTGCTAGCAGCTATTTGGGAGGTTCCAGTTCGGGAGTTGGAGTGCTATTTTGTATCCAGTTCGTGAGTTTTGGTGTTCTGCAGTAGCTGTGCCTGGATCTCTGGAAAGGGGGCCGATCGCCTAAACGGTTTTTACCCCTTGTGTGCAAAACGGTCCGTTACATATATATATTCTATATATATGATCTAAGTATATATATACACATATACATACACACTCATACACTGTCTAAGTGTATTTTACTATTAATATATATAAAATTATATATATATATATATATATATATATTAATATCAAATTACACGTAGACTGATATTGATTAAATATATATATATATATATAATTATTGTTTTATATATATTTATATATAATATAAAAAAAATATGTAAATACGTTAATAAATAAAATAAAAAAAATATATAGATGTGTGTTATTTCGTTCTAACTGTATTGTGATATTAATATATATATATATATATATATTTATATCAAAATACACATAGAACGAAATAATATATATATCTATATACATAAATAAATACGTATATATCTATGTATAAATAAAAATATTTAAATTTTTTAATATATATATATATATATATTCACGTACGTATATATATACATATATTAATTCTACATATATATTTATGTAATATTTTTACATAATTGGGTATCTTAATTAATTACAATTAGCGGGACCTGCCTGACAACCCATGCCGAAAGTAAAGGGAATTTAATTTGCTAGCACTATATTTAACCCTATAACTTTCCAAGACACCATAAAACCTGTACATGGGGGGTACTGTTCTACTCGGGAGACTTCGCTGAACACAAATATTAGTATTTCAAAACAGTAAAATGTATTACAACGATGATATTGCCAGTAAAAGTGAAGTTTTTTGCATTTTTCACGCACAAACAGCACTTACACGGACGATATTATTGCTGCGATACTTTTTACTGTTTTGAAACACATATATTTGTGTTCAGCGAAGTCTCCCGAGTACAACAATACCCCTCATGTACAGGTTTTATGGTGTTTTCAAAAGTTACAGCGTCAAATATAAGGCTTGTGTTTCATTTTTTTCACAATAAAATTCACCAGATTGGGTATGTTGCATTTGAGACCCTATGGTAGCCCAAGAATGAAAATTACCCCTATGATTGCATACCATTTGCAATAGTAGACAACCCAAGGTATTGCAAACAGGGTATGTCCAGTCTTTTTTAGTAGCCACTTAGTCACAAACACTGGCCAAAATTGGCATTTTTTGCATTTTTCACTCACAAACAAATACTAACGCTAACTTTGGCCAGTGTTTGTGACATATCCCATTTGCAATACCTTGGGTTGTCTACTATTGCAAATGGTATGCCATCATAGGGGTAATTTTCATTCTTGGGCTACCATAGGGTCTCAAAGGCAACGTAACCAATTTCAATTTCAAATGTAACGTGCTATATTTGACCCTGTAACTTCCCAAAAGGCTATAAAACCTGTACATAGGGGGTACTGTTTTACACGTGAGACTTTTCTGAATACAAATATGCATATTTTATTGCAGTAAAAGCAAACAGTATTATGACATTGACAGTTAAAATGTCATGTAGAACAAAAAAATTTTAAAAAAATCTTATTTTCTCCCATTAGTTTCATATTACATTATGTTTCATAGCTAAATATTTGATGAAATGAAAGCCCTGTTTCCCCTGAATAAAATGATATATAATAAGGGTGGGTGCATTTACTATGAAAGAGGTGTATTACGGTTGGACAGACATGTAGCGCAAATGCCAGGTTTTGTTTACATTTTGTTTCGTTCACATTTGGCTCCGTCCTTAAGGGGTTAATAATGTCTGATCTTCAAAATCTAATGTCCTCTTATTTACAACATTACCTCCATCTTAATTCTATTTTTACTACAATGTTATATTAAACTGCTTTTTACTGTAATCTTTTTAAAAACACCAAATGTATTATTTAAATTACCATCTATACCAAGTTTTTTAATCATCACTTGCACTATCAATATTAAGGACATATATGGCAAATGAATCACTACAGGATTATATATGGAAAATGCACCAACATACCCCAGCCATTAATAAATATACTTGTGGTTACCATTTTTCATTACATGATAAATTATTTTCTATCAATAAGTTCTCTTATCACATATATCTTTATGTATAAGATAATCCTATTCAATAGTTAATTCTTGTTAAAAGATATCCTAATTCTTCAATTATATTCACCTAGTTTCGTTCTTAAAAGAAAATATCCCAAACGTAATTTTTCCGTTAGAAGTGTAACAAATGTACTACTTTTAAAAGTAATTTGCTTATCATAAGGTACCTATGCCAAGTCTCTATGTTTACGTGCCGTTTAACAAGCGGTAAATGCTCTGTATTAAAGGTGCACTATAGGCACTCAGACCACTTCAGCTTAATGAAGTGGTCTGGGTGCCAGGTCCTTTTAGGAATAACCCTGCCTGCTGTAAACATAGAGAAACTGCTATGTTTACAAATGGGTTAATCCAGCCTCTAGTGGCTGTCTCATTGACAGCTGCTAGAGGTGCTTCTCACTGTGATTTTCACAGTGAGAAGACGCCAGCGTCCATAGGAAAGCATTGAGAAGGCTTTCCTATGGACTGGCTGAATGCGCGCGCGGTCCTTTAACCTCTTAAGGACCAAACTTCTGGAATAAAAGGGAGTCATGACATGTCACACATGCCATGTGTCCTTAAGAGGTTAAACAAGTAGTAAGTATGTACAAAGTGCACTGCAATGGGTTAACATAGCCAAAAGGACTTAGTCGGCTATTTAAACCCAATAGCTCTACATGCATGTCATCCTCTAATGAAGTGAGAAATTACTCACAAAACGCATAAGGACTTGTCACTTTTCGGCAAATTGCTACACTACAGAGTTACATTGGAACGCAGAAGGGGAGAACAGTGATACGCACGCGGCACCTTACAGATTTGTATCTACTGGCTGACGTGTAGGACCGTGACAACTACCCCCAACAAGCCTTTCCATTACATACTTGTTAGAGACCTGCAAATTGTGAGTGCCTTTTAATTCAACATGTTTTATTAAATCATTCAACACAGTGAGCACTATGGATCATATCACTGATACAACACCAATTGAAGAAGATATCATTGTTATTGTACTATACACAATAGCTTGTTCTGCAGACAAACCCCAGCTGGAGCCATCTGATACAAGCTAACATTGCACATACTGTATCAACACTGTTGTGATACTTTTAACAGACTGATATTTTAACTATTGGAAACATAGGGACTTACTTATTCATTAGTATTTTAATCAAATTTTATTAAAGGGACACTATATAGTCACCAGAACTACAGCTTATTGAATTTGTTTTGGTGAGTAGAATCATTCCCTTCAGGCTTTTTGCTGTAAACACTGTCTTTTCAGAGAAAATGCAGTGTTTACATTACAGCCTAGTGATAACTCCACTGGCCACCCCTCAGATGGCTGTTAGAGATCCTTCCTGGGTCATGGCTGCCTAAAATGCATTCAGACATTCAGTATCTCCTCCCTCTGCATGCAGACACTGAACTTTCCTCATAGAGATTCATTGATTCAATTCATCTCTATGAGGAGATTCTGATTGGCCAGGGCTGTGTTTGAATCATGCTGGCTCTGCCCCTGATCTGCCTCCTTGTCAATCTCAGCCAATCCTGTGGGGAAGCATTGTGATTGGATCAGGCTACCACTTCTGATGATGTCAGCAGACTGCTTGTTTTTCTGAGTCTAACAGCATGCAGATTTACAGCTTCAGGCTTGAATACAGTAAGATGTTGCTATATTTATGGAGGCATGAGGGGGCCAGGGGGCTAGATGGTGGTTTGAACACTATAGGTTCAGGAATACATGTTTGTGTTCCTGACCCTATGTTGATCCTTTAAGGTTTATTCAGCTTTATGCTTTTATAAGACACTGTTCCCATTTCTTAAAGGTATATTACACCCACCACAATTACTCCAGGTTATCTATTAGATCACATCTAATAACTTATCAATATATAGAAAAGGACTGTAGTGCATGTAAGAGAATTGGTTTATTTCTATGCTGGTACATATTATAGGATCATAGTACAGGAATTAGTTTTTTATATTTCATATATCATTTACATTAGTTGATCCTTCACTGCCACTTGTATTAGGTCACTCATTCTGCCAATTTCCCATGGCAGACATTTTGAAAGTGCCTGCTAGCCATGTTGTGTTTGCTGCCTTGTGTGGTATAGGTGGAGGGCCCAGGTAGAGGGCTGTTGCCATTAAATAGACACACTGCTCTCAATACGCTTTGGGTCCAGATACAGGTGCTGCAGCGTCACATTCTGGTTCCTTGCCTGGATCTCCTTTGAGATCTGATCCAGCTCACGCTGGAATTCCTTAATGTGTTGCCGTGGTTTCTCTTCTGTGAATCTCTCATTGGTATAATTTCCCACAGGCCTCTGGAAGGGAGGAGAAAATGTTTTTAAAAGAATTGTTAACCGCCATAAAGTGTTAACTGAAATGCACTCTGAATTTCCAAGTTCATGCCACAATAGACATAACTGCTGGAACATTATTACAAGGCTGAACTTGCCCCTGTAAGATTGATGGGGTCGTTAAAGTGATCATGGCTTGATGAGCTCAGGAATTGCTATAACAGCAATATTTTTAGATAGTCACTGCCTGAATGTCATCGGGCCCCATGTAGACAATGGTGGCTGGTGACGTTTTAAGATGGTGGGGTGCCAGACTCCTCTATACAGGACAGAGATACACAGAGCTGAATACAAAGATACCTTTATGATGTATAGCTGGGCAGGCTACAGAGGTACCCATACAACAAGCAGAGCCAAGTAAGATACAGAGAAACAGAGCTGGGCACAAGGAGATAATATACTATCCCACAGACAGGATCACTGCGATGGATTTCAGAGAACATATCTGTATAATGCTCCAGCTCTTATGATCTCTTCTTCTACTGATAATGAGAAGTTTCTCAACTGCAGCAATAGTTAATAAGTAGCCATGATAACTTGAGCTGTCTGTCATAGAATGTGATGGCAGATAAGAACCATTCGGCCCATCTAGTCTGCCCGATTTTCTAAATACTTTCATTAGTCCCTGGCCTTATCTTATAGCTAGAATAGCCTTCTGCCTATCCCACGTATGCTTAAACTCCTTTACTGTGTTAACCTCTACCACTTCAGCTGGAAGGCTACTCCATGCATCCACTACCCTCTCAGTAAAGTAATACTTACTGATATTATTTTTAAACCATTGTCCCTCTAATTTAAGACAATGTCCTCTTGTTGTGGTAGTTTTTCTTATATAGTCTCCTCCTTTACTGTGTTGATTCCCTTTATGTATTTAAATGTTTCCATCATATCCCCCCTGTCTCATCTTTCCTCCAAGCTATACATGTTGACATAGTTGCCCACTATATATATATATATATATATATAAATATATATAAATAAATCGATGAAATCTTTTAAGAGACCCTGAGGGGTTGAAACGTCGATTTAGATTATTTGCACTACCATGTAAATTTTTTGTTACAATAAATACACTTTGCTGAAGTCCTTTGGAGTGCTCCATTTCATCGATTTATTTATATATTTGGATGTTGGAAGTTCCTAAGGCAGACACATTGAATGTATCCAAGGGTGAGTGCCTAAATTATCCTCTTTATAAATATATATATATATCTCAACTATTGCTGAAGTTATAAAACCTCTCCGTTGGCTCTCAGCAGTGTTAAAGCAGCAGGGTACTGATTGACTCATTCCTTTGCAGCTGGCAATGCAATTAACCATGTCCAGATTTTATTTAATTCCATGTTACATCTGCAGGTTAACAGTATCAATTCGATATTAAGACAGATTACTGGACTGGCACTCTGGACTGATCGGGGACAGATTTCCACTTAATGTTTCACAACTTTTCAACCAGCCCCAGCATGAGTGTGCTGTAAAGTGACTGAGCACTTTAATGTGGTGGGCATATGCAGTAGGAGTTACTAAAAAAAAACTAACGAGAGGCAACACAGTGCTCTGTCAGAAATGTCTCTCTCATTGTCACCACTGGCTTTACACATTTGAGTAAGTGCCCTTGCTTAGTCAGTACTCAGGCACTCACTAGGACTATTGGGTGACATAACCCATTGCAGGGGCAATGAGCTACTGCACTCCTCCCTGTGCCACTTCCAATATGACATCTTGCTTCTCTTTCCTGTGGACACTAGGCCCACCCCCAGGACCATCAGCAAACAACTGCCAGTGAATAGAGAGGCCAGTAGCATGCCTCCACTCATAGGAAGTGGGCTCTGCTGCCCAGAAGGAAACCCAGTGGAAATTCCTTCTTGATTGACACAGGGCATGTGCAATACCTGCTGAAACAGGGCCCCTTTGACATGCCAAGATGCGCTCAAGATTCTCCAAACCACTACCAATGAGATGGTAGGGGTCCTGCAAAACTGAACGTTGTTACAGAATTAAAGACCAATTCTTTCCACACTTTATTACTAATCTCCCCTTCAAAAAAATAATGTGTTTTTAAACTACTACAAATAACTGTGGGGTTTGTTCTGTCTAAAGAGTGTAACTTTATCTACTGTATGTTGATTCCTAAATTCCACAGCCCTCCAAAATAGGTTGGACTTTGGTCACACAGGCTCTGACGTATTGCACCCACTAACTGGTAAGCAGTGTCAGATTCCTGAGTAATCTGCAGGATGGGTTTCGGATGAAGACAATCAAGGAGACCATTAAAAAGTTTACATTAACTTTGTTTTAGGTAAATCTGCCTTGGGATATGGTTTAGGATTAAGTATTAATTAAAAATAGTTATTGTACCATTATACAGTCACAGGTTAGCTGTACTCCGTGTGGACGTTTTGACAAGTTACTTTGTCAAGAGATTATCTGCAGGTTGATATGAATGGATGTCAACTACTCATGTATCAGATTTACCCTGCTTTTTGCTTTACCCCCCAATGCATGGTGTACTTAAGTGAATGGATTGATAAAACCTGGAGAAGAGATTCATGGAACCTATTCAGATAAGCCATGAGATATTGATGATTCGGAACAGTGCTCAGAGGTCCTCAGAATACCCACCTTGTCCTCCGGTTCCTAGCTGAGCAGCCTGGTTGGTGAAGCCAAGTAATATTAAGGGATTGGGATTTGACAGGTTTTCACAAGTTAATATGAAAGCATTTTAACTAGAAGTGTTAGTTACATCCAGCTCTTTGCTTCCCACCCTATGCATGGGAAACCCTGGAGAAGAGATTTCATGAAACCCATCCAGATAAGCCATGAGAGTGATGATTCAGAATACACAGAATTATTCAGAATACCCACCTTGTCCTCTGGTTCATGGCTGAGCAGCCACACAGTAGCCATGGCCAGGGTAGTTGTATTGACTTCAGGTAAGGTATCCAAGATGATTTGATAAGTTGCCCCTTTCCCGGAAGGAGGTGGCTTCCTCATAGATGAGGGACCATTGGGCATCCAACCATAAAAGTCAAACTGTTATGGGGAGAAAGTCACAAGTAGCAGATTATAGAATATTTAATATGCATAGTAAATATGCAATCTACAGTATTGTGCAGCAAAATGTATTTAGGTTTAGAGTAGCTAAAATGCAACAACATAGTGGAGTTCTACATGTTTGAGATCTGCACTTTTTTTAGACCAGTGTCCATAAGACATATATGAGCAGTGGTAGAAGTGACATGTACCCGAAGGGAAATATTTCATCCTGCTGATGTAAATTCTTACCAAGGAGGACTTGCATTGTGAAATTTGCCCTTATTTGAAACCAAAAGTGAGGCTGTGCCATCTTAAGTTTGTCAAGATGGACAAGTAAGCAACATTTAAAAAAGTATGAATGTTGAGATTTATGAAATATGGTTTGTGAATAGTCCCATTTAAGAAATAGAAGCTAGTGTTGCCACTTGATCCATGTGGTAATTACTAAGACTCTGTGTGACACGAAGATAGTGTGCCAATGGCACACTGGTTTCATACTTAATGTGATTTTTCAAAGCACCTTGGAACCTTCAAAAGATTAGGAGGGACACTTCTAGTCCTGAGGCAAAGACTAGTATGCTAGCATATTTGCTGTGGGCGGTTGGAGTGCCATAGGTCATTTGTCACAGCATACCAGAGACGTAGAGTCAAGCATACTATTTTATGTGTGTGTTGATGTTTGACCACCTCACATTTCTAAGTTATGGAGAAAAGAGCTCTGAGGAAATTAAGTCTGCTATTTCCTTTCCAATCCCACAACTTACTGTTTGTATTCACTAGCCTCCCCAGAAGTCTGCACATTTTAATCACTCACCTGGCCACTGTTGACAGGAGCATGCTGCCCAGAACACGTGAAGATCACCATGGTCAGGTATTTAATGAAATTAGCTCATCCCGGGTCCCCAGAGAAGATGGAATTAAAGTCTTCTATGAGATGCATTTTAATCATATACCTGTACCATTATAGGTATTACTATTCAGTCTACGGTAAAGGACTTAGACATTGCTTCTTAGATCACATATTAGACTGCATCCAAGATCAATATCAGCCCAGTCCAAAGGGCATACGGTTTCTCAGTTCTAACCATTTTAGAATGTATTACTCTTGAAAGGCCAAAGCTAGCATTTGACAATGCAGAAAGATTAGAGATAAATAGGCCTGGGATAAAGCATATCCCAATGGATTAGTGGCAAAGTTACTTTTAAAGAGAACTGAAAGTTTAATACCAGAGAAGATAGCACAATATACATCCCCAGAAAACCCAAGTCATATTTCGGTTACCGTATATACTCGAGTATAAACCGAGTTTTTCAGCACATTTTTTGTGCTGAAAAACCCCAACTCGGCTTATACTCGAGTCAGTCTGTATTATGGCAATTTATATATCCCAGATGTATGTTGCTGTGCCTGTAAGCGGATACACAGAATGGCTACATTCACCATTCCAAGTTAACCTACCAACAGATCCAAATTTGGTGACAATGGCTACCAACCAAGGTTGCCACATTGACATTTTCCTGTACACTGTTCTTGATGGATGTGTTGCCCAGCAGTATGGGGCATTCATATATAGCAAGGGGAGTTATGCAGTCACAGAGGTTCCTTTGAGATTTTTCTTTAACAGACATTCAATAGCTGCATGTTGGGCAGGACATAAGTGCTACCAACCAATAAGAGTCAATGGATTTCTAGTTTATAGTCTGTTCATTATTCAAGGAAACTCCTCTAAAGGAACACTTCAGGCACCACATTAAACACTGTAATCATAATGGTGCTTGGAGTGTGCCTACAAAGTAACCTTTTAACAGTGTGAGACAGGTACAAGAGACCATAGTCCCATGTCTAAGGACCATGTGGTCTGAAACAAAAGGAAGATTTTATTTTTGTTTCCAGTTTGTCTATGTATCTTGTAGAATAAACGTCTTTTTTGGATTTGGAACACTTACTTTTCCTGGCATTTTTGGATTACATTACAAGAGACCACAACCTAGCACATTAATGGGCATTCTGAATACCCCAAAAGCCCACACACAAACAGAAAACAAAAGTTATTTCTGAATACCCTTAGTGAAACATGAGTGAAGCCTGATGGGAGAGAATCTAGAGATGTCTCTAAGTGATTGCTAAACTTACATGCGTTCAAGGGCACCCCTTAACTAAAGTCCATCACCCACTGGGACTACACTAACGTAACTAGAGATAGTTAAAAAAAAAAGTCACGAAATACCCAACCCCTCCATGAGATAATGAAAACTAAATCAAAATATGTAACAGTTAAAATACTTTAAAAAGTGTATATATATCGAAATTTGTCTAGTACTGCAGCATCGTCCCATATCATAGGAGCACCAATACACAAACCGTCCCGATGCGTGTAGTCAGGGGAACCAGGTGTCACGAGACCAAGGGTTTATATCAGAATCCTCCGTCACTGATAGGGTGAGGTTCTCCATGAATCTGGCATTATGTAAACCTAGGTGAGAGGTTTACAAATTCAAAAGGAGGTATCTGCGTAGAAACTTTTGGTAAGCAATTACATTAACCAAATGATGTTTGAAAGGGTCGATGTGTAAGATGCTAAATCCTGCTGATCGGAGTGCAGAGCGTTTACATTCCTAATAGCTGAATGTAGGTGTACAATTAAACCACTAGATGAGAATTACAAACAGATGTCAGTCATTATTAAAAAACCGGTCTAGTCCCATAAGTTTTCTGTATATAGTTATGGTAGGTACAACAGATTAGAACATGACTTGTATGTGATCATAATAGGTTATGTCTTAGAACTGGGTTTTGGTGTATTTTAACACCCATGGTGGGTATTATGGATGATGTAAGGTAAAGCCGGATGTTCAAAAGACAGGCAGACAATGACTAATGTTATTATATCCTATACTTGCCATAAGTCTAGGGCTATAAAGTCCAGAGAGGCTTCAATGTTAGAAGAGGGAGAAGAGAGAATATAATAAATCTAAGGCAAGTACACCAAATTTGGAAGGTTTATTAGAACATAAAATTGATTAAAGTGGGCACAGCATATTCCTTAAAGTGGTCACTGGTCAAACATCATAGTATTAACATACTATCTCAAAGATTTTATGAAGGGTATTGGTATATGCAAGGTTAGACTAAAAGACTGTCACGAGAAGACTTCTGGATAGTCGGTTAAAATTATAAAGATATACCCATCTCAAAGGCGTGTCATGTATGGATGACTAAAACTAAACTCCTCACTAAGTCCTTTGGGGGACATTGTTTGAAAGCGATAAATCCAAAACGACTGCCTTTAGTAGGTTCACAGTGCTGCCATCAGAAATTTTGGGGCCCCTCCAAATCCCATCCCCAAAGTACGCCTCCAAGTCTCGCCCACAGGAATACATTCACGCACAGATACAAATGGACACAGCTACACATACTAAAACCTACATGAGTGAGAGTCACTTACTGAAGCTGTATGTAGGCCAATATGCATTTACGACAGACATACTGAAGCCTACGTGTGTGCCATCTAATTTTTCAGCTACCCCGGTTTACCTTTTGTTACAGGCGGGTGGCTGGGGCTAATGAGAGTTGGCTGTTTGTTTTATGGGCCAATCTAATTTTTTGTAGGTTGTGTCCAATAGCACCTTTGCATTAGTAGTAAAAAAATTATATGTAATGGAAACCTTGGCTCCAGGTGTCAACTCCGTGTAACTACATAACCGCCTACACCCTGCATATATAGATCATTTGTTCAAGCCAAATGCAAACTAGAACCCAGCTACTGCAAAACAACCACCATTTTTGCCAGGGCTAGACCCTAGGTCATTTTATCTAGATTGTAAAAGATGTGGTATGATAGATCAGTAGGAAGAAAACCCATGCAGGTTCACTGTATAGCATACAGTCTCCATACACCGTAAGATGTGTAAGTTTACTATAAAATAGGGGAGCTTTGGATTTCTCTGCTGGAATGAAAGCTACAAGAAACAGGATACGGATGATTTTTATTTGCCTCAATTTACAACATCCCAGACCTGTATATCCGAAGGCATCCATAACAGATTATGCAATGCTAGAGATACACAAAAAACTATAAGAGCCAAAGAAGGACCAGTCCCATTGATTTCCCAAGGCAGACATTGAGAGTGCCTGCCAGTCATGTTGGGTTTGCTGCCTTGTTGGTATAGATGCCATTAAATAGAGACACTGCTCTCAGTAAGCTTTGGGTCCAGATACAGGTACTGCAGCTTCACATTCTGGTTCCTTGCCTTGATGTCCTTTGAGATCTGATCCAGTTCACGCTGGAATTCCTTAACATGTTGCTGTGGTTTCTCTTCTGTGAATCTCTCATTGGTGTAGTTTCCTAGAGGCCTCTGGAAGGGAGAAATTTTGGATTATGCTATAGATGCAAGTTTATGCTCAGATATTGATACAGAGGTGTACTATATAACAAATTAAGATTTCTACATTGTCACGAGGCCCCACATGTAGTTTGTGGGTCAGAGGATAGCCTAGGTAAGTTAAAGCAGATATGAATGCCTGTGTGTAGATTTAGTTACAGTGAGTAGAGGTTATAGGATAATCTATGTATTATCATGTTGACTACAAGGGTTGGTTGGAGATGTAGCACTGAAGGTTGCCTATCCCTTGTAAGAACAATCCTGATACCATTAGAATTAAGGTTTGTCTACTAGGTCTCAGTTATCAATGCAGGACGGATTTGCTAGACAGCGTAGTTAGCAGTTTTGGATCCCATTCTGGATAAGAGACATGTCAGACAGTTGACACCAGTAAGAGAGAAGAGGTCCAGGCACATTAGAATAGAAGGAATACTGTCAAGCTTGACAGAGACCCAATCTTGAGTTGAAACATTGAAGTGTTCCTTTTCTTCTAATAAAAGAGCCTGGACCTCTTCTCTTGTGTCCACCATAGTTTGGTTTGTGCTGGCCCATGGTCTAGTTTAGCACCTTTTGGCTTGTGTGGATTGGGTGCAGTTTCTATTGCCATCTTGTAAGACAGTGGACACCACACATGCAGAGGTTAAACATGAAGCACAAAAGAAAGGCCAAGTACAATAGACTCACTTCCAGTCTTTGAAGGTAGACAATTATACATGAATTGTTTTGGTGTAGTGCGTGGTCTTTTCACCACTTGGGATAGGCGCTGCATTTAAGGGGCTTTTATTGATTTCCTTTTGGGTTGTTTTCTCTGCAATTTATTGCTACCTGAATCCCATGGCACGCCATAGAGCAAACTGCTTACCAGTTAATGGGTGCTGTTCCTCAGGAGAGAGTTCTGAGAATACTGCAGGGTTAAGAAATCTTTAAGTCGTATATTGAAATTTAGGGTTTTGTAAATTCATCCTGGCATATAGTTTAGGATGGAGCACAGCAGGGTGTGCGATTGTCCTTCCACAGGTTTGCTGAAGCCTGGTTGGTGAAGCCAAGTAATATTAAGGGATTGGGATTTGACAGGTTTTCACAAGTTAATATGAAAGCATTTTAACTAGAAGTGTCAGTTACATCCAGCTCTTTGCTTCCCACCCTATGCATGGGAAACCCTGGAGAAGAGATTTCATGAAACCCATCCAGATAAGCCATGAGAGTGATGATTCAGAATACCCACCTTGTCCTCTGGTTCATTGCTGAGCAGCCACACAGTAGCCATGGCCAGGGTAGTTGTATTGACTTCAGGTAAGGTATCCAAGATGGTTTGATAAGTTGCCCCTTTCCTGGAAGGAGGTGGCTTCCTCATAGATGAGGGACCATTGGGCATCCAACCATAAAAGTCAAACTGTTATGGGGAGAAAGTCACAAGTAGCAGATTATAGAATATTTAATATGCATTTTAGCCACTTGAAAATACAAGATTGCTGCACCAATCTACAGTCTTTAGGTTTAAACTTCAATAAGACAAGTGTAGGGGAGTACTACATGTTTGAAAGACATTAAGACAACATACATGAGCAGTGGAAGAAGCAGCACGTCATCCTACTGCAACATGACATTTGCCTTTGAAATTAGAAGTAGATAGACTGCCATCTTAAATGTTGAGTGCTATTCCATCTGGACAAAGTAAAGTTGATCATTCAGTTTAGCCAAAATCGTTGTACTTTATAACAGGGATGATCCTGCTGAGATTTACAGAGTCATGGTTTGGAAATACACAATAGAGTGACAGGATAGTCATGCAAAGCTAGTGGCCATTAAATACACAGTATAGTATGCTCTGTAGCAGGTTAGTGCTCCTTGCATGTACAGATTCACCAGTTTTGTTGAAAGTACCATGACTCAATGTGAAATTGTGACAGCCAATGCTACATTGTGAGCCACTAAACATGCATTTCACAAGGCACCTTAGAACCTCCCAGCATTAAATGAGTGCAATATGTGTGCCCTAGCAACTTTAAATGATACAGAATTGCCAAGACATTTATACCATTAAAGAAGCACTACCAAAACCACAGCTCCTACAGTGGGCCAGGAGACCTGTGGTCCCATTGCTTGTGGGGTGGAGGGGGAAATTGGTAATCATGGTTTACAGTTTGTCTCCTTGATTCAAGGTATCATGCTGCTTTAGATACATGTAGGGAGACTTTTGGAGTGTTGAGAGTTAGCTGAAAAAAATTCACAGGAACTTGGCTGATCCAGGCAAGTGGCAGACAATATGACTCCTTACAGAAGGTTGTATGTAATAAAGGAGAACTGAGCAATGAGAAACTAATGCCGTGTCACTATTCAATCCCCAAACACTGTTTTCACTATGCCCAACATATTCCAGAAGTCTGCACATTTTAATCACTCACCTGGCCACTGTTGACAGCAGCATGTTGCCCAGAACATGTGAAGATCACCATGGTCAGGTATTTAATGAGCTCATCCCGGGTACCCAAAGAAAAGGGAATTCCTGTAGGCACAGATTAAGGTATTCCATGAGATGCATTTTAACTATACCTGTATCAATATAGGTATTACTATTCAGTTTATTTTGACTAAAATAACCCTCAGGTCTTCAATGTGATCAAATGTCAGCAAACATTTATAATTTCCCAGTTCTAACCATTTTAGGATTTAAATTGCCTTTTCCCAAAAAGCTAGCTTTGGCCTTTTAAGAGCAATAGTTAGGCTGCTAGTAGCATTGGCTAGAAGAGGTTACATATATTATGGCATGACCCTAGAAGGCAGATACCCAGTTATTCTGGACAAAATCCACATTATACTTTGCCAGGCGGATTAGTGAACAGGATCTCTAAAGACCAAGTCATTTAATGTGCATACCCAGTACATGACCATGAAACATTTAGGCTATATCCCACCCATAAGCATATTTACCAGATGATTTACGTTCCAAGAATCCTTCCTTGAAGACTTCTGCTGCCCAAGCTTGAAGCTCAGGATCTTTAGTGACCATTTCATCACTCTTGTAATAGTAGTTGACAATGCTTGACACCAGCCTGGTTCAGAAGAGAAGCCGATTTTAGAACGGGGTAAAGAATGGTGGTATTTACACCTGAATTCCCATACGTTGTACAGAACTAGACCTGAGCATAAGCCGCACTACACCTCAATACCCTGGGAATTTACTATAGTGAGAGCCAAGTTTTAAATATTAATTTAAAAGATTCCCTGGGGCTGGTAGTCTTTGTTATGTGATTAGACAGTTGACATTGATTGAGTAGAGCAAGGCATTACCTCTCCACAGCCTTCCAGACCTTCATGCCATCTTCTCTATAGTAGTAATTTGGAATAGAATCCACTCCTCTGGCTTTGATATTGTCAGGGAGACACAGGGCGCTATAGGTAACATCTCCCAATGCTTTTCTAAGCAGGACAGGTACACCGCCATTTCCTGTTACATTAGACTGAGGAGAAAGAGTGACATTATAGAAGATGAGAAAGATCTAGACCAGTGGTTCCCAAACCAGTCCTCATGGCCCACCAACAGTCCAGGATTTGTGTATTTCCCTGTTTTATTCCAATGGAGATACTAGCAAAACCTGGACTGCTGGTGGGTCTTGAGGACTGGTTTGGGAAACGCTGATCTAGACCATTAGAACAGACTGCATTGTCCATTTAATACTAGAAGCTAAATTGGTCGTTGTCAGTCACCACAAGATATTCTATAGGCAACCAAAACAAAAACCCAGTTTGAGTTTTAAAACTGGATAGGGTAGCAAGAGGACTATTGATAGAAGTCAACGTTACAAGTTCAGCAAGAATGCCATAGTGCATATCTCAACTCTAACGAATCCTTGGTGTCTGGATACATACCCAAACTTTGTAAGACTGCGAGAGTAGTGCCTATCCATAAAAGTGGTGACACTACTTTGGTTTCTAACTATTGCCCAATATCATTGCTCCCGGTATTGTCAAAAATCTTCGAAAAATGTGTCCATACGCAACTTTGTGAGTACTACCAACAATTAAACTGACCCCTGATCAATCGGGCTTTCGCCAGAATCACTCAACTACAACTGCCCTCCTAAAAGTTAGCAATGACATCCAAACTGGCATGGAACAAAGAGACATAACTGGAGCTATTTTCCTTGATTTTGCTATGGCCTTTGACACAGTAGACCACGACATTCTACTGCACAAACTCGAAAACTCAGGTATTGGTGATCGTTCTTTAAACTGGTTCCGATCGTATGCATCGGATCGCTCGCAATATGTGTCCATTTCTGACAGTGACTCCCTCCCTCTCCCGATCACGTGTGGTGTTCCCCAGGGTTCCATTCTCGGCCCCCTACTATTTACATTATTTATAAATCTGCCTAATGTATGCAGATGACACGGTAATCTATGCGAGCAAACCCTGTAACGGACCTTTTTGCACACAAGGGGTAAAAACTGTTTAGGCGATCGGCCCCCTTTCCAGAGATACAGGCACAGCTACTGCAGAACACCAAACTTCCAAACTGGATACAAAATAGCACTCCAACTCCCGAACTGGAACCTCCCAAATAGCTGCTAGCAGACGAACAGGAAAAGCAGACGAATAGCTTACACTCCTGGCAATCAGTCTCTAACAGCATAGAGTGAATCACCCCAAGAACGAGACAAGGCTCTGTGTTGAGGGTCAAGCAGTGGTCTGTTTAATGAGGGCTACCTGCCCAGTATTTATGCAGGTCTCCCACCTGGTGGACACTCCCCTAGGGGACCAAATGGGAGACTGTGACAAGGGACAGACAAGTATACAAAAAGGACACACAGTCACAGTATATTCCCACAATGCATCCTGGCTTCCTCCCCTCTGCCCTGGGAGATAATTGGGAAGTAACTCAATTATCTCCCAAGTCAAAGGCAAAACTCCATTACACATGTGGGAACACAAAACCAGCATTATACTTTAAAATGCACAAAGTAACATTTACTACATAAAACACAGACATGTAACATATCCCCAGATAGCTCAGGTCTGAGTGCACATTATTAGGTGAATGGCACTCAGACTACACGAATACAGTTTTAATTGTCATGGAGCCAAAGTCTTTAATTCCACGAATAGGCTCCATGGCATAGCTATCTGGGTTAAAACATTCCTCCAACATAAAATACCGAATTTACATGCATTCGTTCAATCCGTGCGAATTAGAACCAGGGGTTGGAGGTTCAGCGGTGCCTGCACGTAAAAGTGTCCGGGTTTGGTGCATGAAAGCCGGGCAGACAAGCGCTGGCTGCCCGGGGAGCTCCAGAACACCGCCATCGTGTGGCGGCTAAGTGTAACCGCGACCACCCAGTAACAATCAATTAAGCTGCGGTTAACCGCAGCTACTGGGTGGTCAATTGCCGGCACACGCTCGTTAAGCCGCGGTTAACCGCGGCTTCAGGGAGGTAAATGGAGGGCGCACTCCAGCTTCTGGGTGGCCAATTAAGGTCGCCGGCCGGCTTCCCACGGCTCTGGGGAGGCTGAAAAGAGACTGTTTGTTTGGTAGATGGAATCTACTGAACGGCTGTGCAGAAAGGGAGAAATAAATCCTTCTGCACAGTAAAATTAACCCTTTAGCTGCCGGTCCATAATCCAAAGGCAGCAGGCGGGCAACCAGGCTCCTCCAATGCAATGTGGCGAGATTGGTTTCGTCACAAACCCGATCTACCGCAACTTGAGGCTTTGCTCCAAGACCAGTTTACAGAGGTAGAAAAGTGGATCACAAAAAACAAACTCTTCCTGAACACTGACAAAACGGTCACAATGATCTTTGTAACATTACCTAAATTACACAATCCCCACCTATCCATCAAAACAAATTCAAATGGCACACTGACCGCAGTCCACTCTTTTAAATACTTGGGTATGATATTAGACCCCAATCTTTTGGCCTGCACATAGAAAAGCTTGCATCTAAACTTTATCCAAAATTAGGTGCCCTGTACAGAAACAAAGCCTGCCTAAGCCCTACAGTAAAGGAAAAGATTGTACAGCAAATGCCAATCATTGATTATGGGGATGTAGTATATGCGTCTGCATCGCGATCCCACATTAATAAACTCACATTGTATAACTCGTTCTGCCGATTTGTGCTACAATGTAATTACAGGACCCGCTAAAGGAACTAAACTGGCTGTCGCTGGAATCCAGACGCACCCTTCATCTTTCCAGCCTTGTTTTTAAGAACTTTTCTGGGAAACTCCCACCCTACCTGAACAAAATGCTTTCCCCACTTTCTATAAGCTCCGATCCAGTACAAGCACTTTAGTCTACCTCAATACAAAAAGAAAGCGGCCCGATCCTCCTCCTACAGATCACCGCAATTGTGGAACGACCTCCCGCACAATTTAAAATCTTCCCTAAGCCTAAAGTCATTTAAGAGATCCCTCTCTACATACCTCAAAACAGAATGCACGTGTCATGGTTGACTATATATTTCCTGCCTGTTCTATGTTACATTTTGTATTTATTGTGTATTAATATTGTTTTTGTATTTTGTTGTACCTAATGTAACAATGCAATGATTTGTGGACCCAGGACATACTTGAAAACGAGAGAAATCTCAGTGTATCTTTCCTGGTAAAATATTTTATAAATAAAATATCTGACCTAGCTAGATCTGAAGGCAACTGTAGAGAAGACTCACCTGATCAAAGATGCCTCCAGGGCCTAGAAGCTCACTTCTGGCAAGGGTATTGATTTCCAAAGTATAACGGAAATGGGGAACAAGAAGCTAGGAGAAGAGTAGAGCATTAGCTTCATAGTAAGCTTATTCACGCTGTAATAGATTCCTTCTATTGCATTACTACATATGGCTTGAAGATTTATTCCAATTAGATCAAGCAAGCTAGTCAGCAGCTAATATACAGTCACCAGTTTTGTTGAAAGTACCATGACTCAATGTGAAATTGTGACAGCCAATGCTGCATTGTGAGCCACTAAACATGCATTTCACAAGGCACCATGGAACCATATGATTGAACAGTTTGCAAGAGAAGTCATCCTACGTGTTAGTGTCTGGATCACTGCAACATGGTCAGTGAGAGGAGCATATATTCACCATGGTTCACTAGAGGTCAAGGAATCCATTTCAGAGTTAGTTGGTTAGAAAACTGAAAGTTAAACATTGTCGTCAAGTTACTTTTCCAAGCAATGTTTTATTAAGACAACCAGTTGACTTTAGACAGTCTTAATCCAGCACTAGGCATAGAGCAAGGATAGGCAACCTTTGGCACTCCAGATGTTGGACTACATTCCCCCATGATGCTTGTGTTGAGAAGTGTGTCACCTGAGCTGAATTACCAATGGCAGCAGTTGTTTCAATTATATAAAGCTGCAACCAAATGCCACAGCACAGTCTTGGTCTACATTTTGCAACACTGAATAAAACAGGTAGGTTCTATTTCAAACCACTTTCTACCTTAAAAAGTAAGGGTATTCCACGGTAGGATATTTTCTACCATATTAACTTTTCATTCCCAGTTATAGCTCAGAATCTTGATTCAGACTGTGTCCAACATTGATACAGATTATTGCACTGACCAGAATTATTAAACAAATCGCTCAATGTTATGCAACAGCCTCCTTGTTGATTAGACATTCCTACCTTGTAAACTGGATGTCCAATTGGAAGTTGTCTGGAGGTTGCAATGCTAAAGACCTCAGCAAATAGGTGGGTGCAGAGCAAATGAGGTCCAGCCTGATGCACCTGAAATTCTGTATTGCGCACCCACATCTTAGCAAGGGTCCAGTCCCATTCTGGATCATTGGGAAGGAAGATTGGGTTTTGGGGTCCTGGGACTTGTCCCAACTGAAAGAGAAGCGAGACAAGTGACAAACCACTTTAGGGTATCACTGCCAAGAGAGAACCCATCATGTATACCTGCCAGTTTAAATGGCCAGATTGGAACACTAGTCTAAAAGGTGGGGCCGTTGTGAGAACTTTTAGGTGACAAATGTCATTTCAAGACGATGTTATTTACAGACTGATGTCACATTTATTGTAGTTTAAAGACACTTTACTGAAAGTATAGCTGAGGAGCTATGTTATACAGAGACAATATGGAGCTCATAAGAAAGGGACATTAGGCTTGAGATGAGCAACTGAGGGATATAAAAAAATTTAAAGTGAGGTATGCATGTTTCTGTACAAGCCTGAACATTGGGCTTTATTGTATTCATTGCACATTACAGTATCACTACACAGATGGCATAAACAAGGTTTTCCCAAAAGTCACTTTGGAGTTACAAATCTGTGTGCTATCCACACACCACCTCTTGTAGCAAACCGGGGCACATTAGATTAATTCCTCAGATCTTTGACAGGCCTAAGCTACAAGAAACTAAACTGGAGTTCCAGATAAGCGTGTTAGATAACTGCATAATGCCAAACTATTGTGGGTTCAGACAATGAGCTGCTTCCCGATTTTGTATTTTAGAAATTTGTCACAAGAATGACAGACACCAGTTCTAGAACATTTCTGTACAGCACCCCACCCCAAATACCATTTCTAGTCCATTTAGAAGAAACCACCACTGTGATCCGGCATACCTGGATGGCTATTGGGAGGAGATGATCCAGAGGGTTTTTCCACAGAAGGCATAGAGGAGCAGTGAGGTATTGCTGCTTGCCATTAATGACATTTGCAGGGACTCCATCCAGAACCTTGTAGTCAGCCAGAAAGACATTACCACTCTGAAAGTGTATGGTGAGGCTGGGTTATATGAAGGGCCATTTTACATGTGCACTTGTTTTAATGCTAAAGTTTACACAGTGAAAAGAAAAAAAAAAAAAATCGTGGAATTGATCTGTGGAGCAATTTTGTTTATGATGGCAAATAACGGCTTTTCTATTAAGTAAAAAAAAACTGCAAAATTGAGAAAGTCTTAGTTTTGACGATTGCTTCCCAGTTTGCATATCATACATTCACATGCAGCAAGTGCTATATTGCAAGTTACAGGACTAGAACCAACAATTCCCCCTTTCCATTAACGTTGGAATATCACAGTACTGAAAGACTTGTACCTTCAGTTAGTTTAGTCAATGTGACTGGATTTGTGTTTGAAGTGGGGTAGGTTACTGCAAGTTAGACCGTGTGAGGTTTATCCAGATACAAAGATTGATTTATTAATCTCAGCAGTATATAGAAAGATTATAAATCCATCTCACAAACCATTGTGAAATTCACTACCAGGAAAGGATAAAAATCCAACCATCTAAGCCCCATTGAAGAACCCTGTTCACTTTGTACTGTAAGAAAGGCTCACCTCCAATTCCTTTTGGAGGTTTGTGGTTGTCCCCAGAGAGGCAGCCACCATCTCTTGAACCACTGGGAAATGGTCAGGGATTTTGGTGCATTTTTGTAATATCACAGGGCATACTCCATTCAAGTATTGGTAACCAAAGAAGGAGTCCTCCTGCCACATCTGTGTCACCAGTTCTGTGGAAGAAAGACCAAGTATTAATATTGGAGGTGACAAGAATACAAGGCGTTTTGCAAGAATTAAGACAATAGGTTAAGAGGGCTTTAGTGTCACAGCAAGAGTCTATGCAATATATTGATTTGGCCAGCATTCCAGTGTTCTGTCAATATGCTCTGCCCCCCCATCATAAAAGCTTCCCAAGAGAATAAAGAATGAACAAACCAGAGTTATGGGTCTTTTGGTACAGGAAGACCTTTTTGATATCCTTAAGATCAGTCCAAGGGTCTTTGGATTGGAGGAAGCCTCTGAGCTGCAGTTCTAATCCCCTGTTAAAAATAAAGCCATTAAACAATATAACCCTGGTGTGTTATAGAGTCACACATGTATAAACCAGATAAAGACCAGACCCAGCTAACTGGATCTGATGTTCTTAAGAAGCCAACCATTGCTGGCAGTATCCAGTTTTGTATAGAAGCCTCAATACATACGTTGCAACCACAGAGAAGCCAAAATTGGCGTATTTCTGGAAGGAGTATTTTGCATCACAAGGAAGATCTTTTGAAGATTCAGCATCAATACAGTGAGGGGCGCCTTCTGCATAGACCTTCCACCTGCAAGGAGGAGACCTTTAGTTGTAGCATATATAAAACCCTCTTAATATCAGTATTTAGCTACCACTCCCAGAAACCTATGTTATATGGAGTGAGATTCAATATGTTTATTACCAGTATTAATAAAGCAACAGATTCTGCAGTGTTGTGCAATTAGTGGAGGATGTACAATATACACAGACAAATAAAAAATTAGAAGGTAGAAGGCCCGACATTAGAAACTGGTTTATTGGCTTACAAAATACCAGAATCACTACAGTTTGAGGGGAAGAATATGGCATAACATGAGCCCAATGATTGCTCTGCGATATGGTGAGCTCACAGCAGAGACAAAGACTAGACGTTTGCAGCAATTGCACAAGCTACATGTAGTCTACATACATTTAGCAAGATATTAAACTAGTTTATGCCACACCAGCTCAATGGAAAAGCATAAAGGTCTAAAAAAAAAAAAAAAAATTAAAAAAGGGGAATATCTCAGTTTCAGTAAGCATTTACTGGGGGACGGACACACACACACACACGTTAACAATTGTATTCCAAAAATGATAGAATATATGCAGAGTCAATGATTTGTCCATCAAGACCTTGATAGTGTTTTGATTAACAGAATGGGTTGATTACCAACTGTTGGCATACAGTGACTAGCTCCATCACAATTGCCGCCGATCAGAAATACTGCTCATTTTGGAATAAGTGTTTTGTAGACTAGCAAGTAGTGAGCAGAGCTTAGTCTGCATGTAAGCAAGATCTGTTAGTTTGTATGGTCTTACAATGCTACAGTGTGGGGTTTGCTTTAGATACTTGGCTTTTATAACAGATTGATATCATGTTTTAATATAACACCTTACAGACTATGGAGTTGTGATCTAACCCCATTAATACTCAGTTAAAGGTATGGCTGTAGCAGGTCGAATAGGTCATTTTGCCTTCAGGATCGTTTTATACCAGCCTCACGTTGTGATAAGCAAGGTTCAAATATGGCCAATGTACCAATAGGCAGCAGACACCATGTAGGTGTGATGGCCATTCTGGTTCTATTCTAGGTTTCAGATTACCGTATTGTAAAGTTACTTTACATAATATATAGAAAGCCCCAGTAGGGCACTAAAACCGCATTCGGAAATCCATAGAACAAGAGTTAAAGAAACCCAGAGCACTTTGGATATATTTCTGACATGCAGTTCGTAAAGCCAGTGTCACTTACCTATAGCTTGCTCTATTCCTTTCCAGCTCGACCTTTCTCTGCTGTACAAGGAGGGGGTTCACATCTCCAGTCAAAATGATCCCTGGCAAGGGAAAGCAGAGAGGGGTTACACCAAGTGAATTAATCTAATGGCTGAGACTGCCAGTTTGCAAGCATTAGTAAGATTCCATGAGAATGTCCATATCCCTCAGGTAGCTTAGACGCCTTAGATTATCCTTCAAAAGCATTAACAGTTGCTGAAGAGGGTTGTCTATGGAGTTGGTTCTAAGACAGTCTGCAATTTGTGAACAGTGAGATTAAGCTGTGGGTCACAGGATATTTAAATGCCCGTATTGCTACAGAGATATTGAGCCATCAAGACTACAAATCACATAGAGGACCCATTGTCGAGGACCATTTACAAATAGAGCCATTTAGTAGATATACATAAAGCATTTTTAAATTGTGGGATATATCTAGAGACAGCAGGCAACAGCTACAGATCTCTTCTCTGCAGCATTTGCAAACCCTCCCCTTCTATCCCAGCCCAGACTTTGTGGCTGCTCAGTCAGAAATCTGAGCAATTGCTACATCTTTAGTTTATCTTCAGAGCTAAAAAAAAACAGGAAGTAATGGTATCGGTTGCATGGTTAGGAGCCAGTGGGTGTAACAAGGTCAATTTATAGCTAGAGTACTTTAGTGGGTAAGGAGTTTCACGCAAACCCAAAAAAAAAAAACCCACACAGACAATGTTAATGACAGCTTTACCTTTCCCTTCTGGAATTTCTATGTTCGTATATCCAGTTACCCACAGGTAGTACGGGAATCTACTTCTTTTCCCGTTGGGACTGATCACATCAATATACTGGCAGCACCATGGGTTCTCTTTTGGACCAGATTTCTCCTTGTACAGACGGACCAGTAGGATTTCTCCAAGTTCTCTTGGGCTGCCAATATCAAATGTAGTTACCTGAACAGGGATATAATAACAAGAGTTGGGATAGGCTTAGATCCATGGTTTATGTGATGCTTTTTATTTGTGCTGCATGGATAAATGAGATCCACATTCATTATGACAAGACCTCCCTGTTAGAACTACAGATGTTTGTTACTATCCCCTGATGCATTTCCACAACACCTACTTAGATCTATGCAAACATTGGTTCATTTAGTTATTTTTATAGTTTGTTAACATCTTTGATATTTTGAAAAGCTGCAGATGCTCTTGTCTGAAGCCACTACAAGATCTACCCTTCTAGCCCAGCCTGACATGACCAGTCAGAGGATTCCCATTGAAAAGCCTAATTTTGAGCAACAAGTGTTTATACTTGCAGGCACATGTGCTACTTTCTAGGTAGTCATGGAGAAGTGTGTAAAGTCAGCCCTGTTGGGCACACACAGGCTTGCCATGACTTGGGGAAACGTGAAGGCAGGCTTGCTCAAGTAGAACTAATGGAATCTTGACGGTAACCTTCCTGTCCGATTGAAAGCCTGGGAGGTGTGTCTGCAGTTTACATAAGAAGCTCCTGAGCTAAGAACCTGTGTATACAGGCCCTTTAACAGCCTGACCACCAGCTTTCCATTATCTAAAAACCCCTGCCACCCACCTCCCCTCCATTAATATTCCCAGATGTATGTTGCTGTGCCTGTAAGCGGATACACAGAATGGCTACATTCACCATTCCAAGTTAACCTACCAACAGATCCAAATTTGGACACAATGGCTACCAACCAAGGTTGCCACATTGACATTTCCATGGACACTGTTCTTGATGGATGTGTTGCCCAGCAGTATGGGGCATTCATATATAGCAAGGGGAGTTATGCAGTCAAGGAGGTTCCTTTGAGATTTCTCTTTAATGGATATGAAATAGCTGCATGTTGGACATGATAAGTGCTACCAACCATTAAGTCAGTGGATTGCTAGTTGAGAGTCTGTTCGTTATTTAAGGCAATTCCTCTAAAGGAACACTTCAGGCACCATAACCACTACAGCTCTAGTCATGATGCTTGGAGTGTGCCTACTACATAATCTTTTTAACACAGAGTATATGACAGGCACAAGAGACCACATGGTTTAAAACATGTAAGGAAGATTTTTTTTAGCTTCCCCTGTTTGTCTATTTACCTTGTAGAATAAGTCTCTATGGATTTGAAACACTTGCTTTTCCTGGCATTTGTTTTTTCTTTGCATCACAAGAGACCACAACCTAGGACATTAAGGGGAATGACAGGTGCAATCCCCCCCAAAAACCACATTGACACTAATGTCTGGGGTCAATATGTCCACAGCTTTAATAATATTGATAATAAATTAAAGTCATTGCCCATCCACAATATAGCATCATATGTCCCCCATAACAAAGGAAATGACCCATCATTTCCATAAATAGACAAAGTAAACATAACACAAGTGCCAAACTTTGTTAAATAACCACGGTAGGGGTATACCCCTACCACCCACCAGGTTCTGAGCGACCACCAAGCTCAAATGCAGTTTAACCACCAGCCTAAATGCCCTATTCTATTTACACTACCCCAGAGCCTGTTCATCCCCTAACTTCTCTCTAGCCCCACCAGGGTGACCAAATGGGAGCAAACAACCTTTACAAAATGGGAGGAACAACTTAGGCCAGGTAAGCAGATTAAAAGTGCCTACTTCTAAAATGGCTGCCTATTTATACTAGGCCGACCCCTTAACTAACTCCACTCCCAAAAAGGGACCTTCCCCCTATGCCCACCTCCTAGCTCTGTCAAGCCCCTTTCCACTAAGCTGTGCTTGGTCCATAGGGTTACAGTCTGAATACCCAAAAAGTCCACACACAAACATAAAACAAAGACAACACTCACAGATTTAGCAGGGAATTTATCTCCCAGAAGCTGTTTAGGACTTTCTCCATTAATCCCTATAAGAGCTATAGAGATGATATCAGTGCTGCCAGCGCCTATCTGCTCTCCAGTGGCTACCAGTACTTGGTACGTTATCATGGCTAGTGGTAGCAGTTCTGCAAATCTGTCCTAAAGCTTTCAGGGATACAGCATATTACAGAGTACCCCCCATTTATACATAGTACACCTGTACTAGCCCTCCCCTAAATCTGCTCTCAACGAGCCAACTTCCTAATTAATCAGAAAGGGCTGAGAGCCAGGAATGGTATGGGGTTATTCAATACAATCTTAATGCAGTCTGGATTAGCACATTTTGTGAAAATCATCTTGTTCCAAGTGAATTGGCAATTCTTATAATGCTTTAACTTTTCCAAATGCTCTGCATTTGTATCTGAAGCCGTTTTGGCATTTTAGCTATTAGAGTTATTTACTAAAGTGGGAAATGTGGAGAAGTCAAAGTTAATTTCAAATTTAAGACCAAAGCAGCTGACTTACAAACATTTCCCCAAGTTAGCTATGCTCCCAGTTCTGCTGTTTTGGTCTAAAATATTAAATTCACTTTGAATTCCTGACAAAATAAATAAACTGAATGTGGTTGTTCCCACATCATTGAACTCATTGGGGGTTATTTATAAAATCGGCACATTCGCTGTTATTTTGTTTTTTCATGTTTTCCTCGTGATTTTTCTGTTGGTTTTATTCAAAATACAGGATGAATGAGTAATATTACAAGGAAAAAAAAGATGCATTCACAATATGAAGGATTTTTTTATTTCTTGAAGTGACACTCCATTGAAAAAGTACAAAAAAAAATCAGTAATTTAATTTTTTTTGAATTGGAGTTAGATCTAAAAACATATGGTAAATTCTGCAGATCTCTTGTCTGCTGCCTTTGCAAGCCCTCCCCTTCTAACCCAGCCCAGATTTTCTGTGATTGTCCAATTAAAGACTCCCCAATGCAGCTTAATAAGATGTCTTTGAAAGGCAGGTGCTCTGGGTAATTGCTGCCTCTTGGGTTTAGTTCCACTGAGCTAACCACTTCAGCTTTTAGGATCTGGTGCATTCTTTTAAATAAAAATGAGGATAGTGAAAGTGACTTACCTGTTTTTGAAAATGCATCATTACACAGTTTTAGATAAATTTGTCAGGAAAAAAAAACCCACTCTAAAAGTTTAACTAACTCTTTAAAAGTTTAACTGTTTAAAATGACAAAAGAGAGGTGCAGGACAAAACTGTTGGGAAGGGAGCAAACGGGAAAAATTTGGTGCAAACTAAGGAAAATATTAGCACAAACAGAAGGTTCAACACAATTGTGACATGGAAGCAGCCACTTTTTATAAAGCACTCCCTTTCTTTGTATACTTATTACATATTGATTTGGGGGCTTACTTCTCATACCAAAAATATACATTTGTAGAAAGTAGATCCCACTAGGCATCTTAAAGTCCAGCCTCTGAGATGTTGATAAACTACAACTCCCATGATTCCCTGGGAGAATTTAGGTATTTCTTTATGGGGCATATCAGAGAACCACAGGGTTGTTCACTGAAAACTGAAATGCTCTGTAATGAATGGGGCACAGGGATATTCAGACTTTTAAAAAAAATCTTCTTTCTCATAACTAAAAAAAAGGCCAAACAAAAATCCATTAAAAAAAATGCATGCTTTAAAAATTAAAAATTTAAGAGTAATCCATTTTTTTTTTCCACTGAGAGGCGAGAGTTCTATGTTGACTAACTCCCCATTACTTTTATTGTCAGATAGAGAACTCTGAAAGGTATGCTTTCAATTCAAATGACAAAAAAAGAAAAAGAAAAAAAAAAAAGAAATTGTAATTGTATCACCCAAGCCATAACATCTTCATATGATTTCATTAAAATATACAAAAATTGGGACTTGTACTATAAATGGGACATGATGGAGCCTGTTAATCTTAGCCAGGAAAACAATTCATATTTTTAAGTCTGCTACACGGGATTTTCCTGTCATTTTTATACTTTTTTCAATGGTGGTTATAGGGGCAAACTTGTCCTCTGTATTCCCGTGTAGATCTACTTGTACTCTTGAAACATTCGTAGAACAAAGAACATGGAAAATAAATGTATCGATGTATACAATTTGCAACAAATTGGGTAACTAAAATTATAGATCAGGGTGGTGCAGTAGACATTGCTTACCTAGATTTCAGTAAGGCTTTTGACACTGTTGCACATAGAAGGCTTATCAATAAACTGCAATCTTTAAGTTTGGATTCAAATATTGTTGAATGGGTAAGGCAGTGGCTGAGTGACAGGCAACAGAGGGTTGTAGTTAATGGAATATATTCGAAGCTTGGACTTGTCACCAGTGGGGTACCTCAGGGATCTGTACTTGGACCCATTCTCTTTAATATTTTTATTAGTGATATTGCAGAAGGTCTTGATGGTAAGGTATGTCTTTTTGCTGATGATACTAAGATATGTAACAGGGTTGATGTTCCAGGAGGGATAAGCCAAATGACAAATGATTTAGGTAAACTAGAAAAATGGTCAGAATTGTGGCAACTGACATTTAATGTGGATAAGTGCAAGATAATGCATCTTGGACGTAAAAACCCAAGGGCAGAGTACAGAATATTTGATAGAGTTCTAACCACAACATATGAGGAAAGGGATTTAGGGGTGATTATTTCTGATGACTTAAAGGTAGGCAGACAATGTAATAGAGCAGCAGGAAATGCTAGCAGAATGCTTGGTTGTATAGGGAGAGGTATTAGCAGTAGAAAGAGGGAAGTGCTCATGCCATTGTACAGAACACTGGTGAGACCTCACTTGGAGTATTGTACACAGTACTGGAGACCGTATCTTCAGAAGGATATTGATACCTTAGAGAGGGTTCAGAGAAGGGCTACTAAACTGGTTCATGGATTGCGGGATAAAACTTACCAGGAAAGGTTAAAGGATCTTAACATGTATAGCTTGGAGGAAAGACGAGACAGGGGGGATATGATAGAAACATTTAAATATATAAAGGGAATCAACACAGTAAAGGAGGAGACTATATTTAAAAGAAGAAAAACTACCACAACAAGAGGACATAGTCTTAAATTAGAGGGACAAAGGTTTAAAAATAATATCAGGAAGTATTACTTTACTGAGAGGGTAGTGGATGCATGGAATAGCCTTCCAGCTGAAGTGGTAGAGGTTAACACAGTAAAGGAGTTTAAGCATGCGTGGGATAGGCATAAGGCTATCCTAGATATAAGATAAGGCCAGGGACTAATGAAAGTATTTAGAGAATTGGGCAGACTAGATGGGCCGAATGGTTCTTATCTGCCGTCACATTCTATGTTTCTTTGTTTCTACATGTAACAACTGAGGAAACAAAATTGGTTATTTGTACCCCACTTTTTTGAAGAATAAATAGCTTAGCTAGTAATTAAGTTAGATTTTATGATGATCGTTTCAAATAATGTTTTAATAATTGTTTTTCAATAAATGTTTACATTTTCTAAAAAGAAACAAATTCACTGGGCGCACATTCTTGGAAACAATTTGTTGTACAAAAAGTTGATAGCTTTTGTCAAAGTCTCAGCTATTCTTCTAAAATTCATTCATCTCTTTATTCGTTTACAGATGAAGCATATTAGAGGAATAAAAGACCAGTGGATAGAATAATTGGCACAAGTCATTAATTGCTTTATTGGCATTTCTATGTTGCTTGTCATTTTCAGCCTGTCAGGTTCAATAAATTATCAGAATGATGTCCCTCTCTTGTCTTTGATATTAACACTTCAAATGTCCATTCTTTATCCAACTTGTACTCAAAGGATCTGGGACACGTTTCAAAGTGATTCTATTCTGTTTAAATAAATGCTGCATTTAACGATCCAGTATGGGCTGTTTGTATATCATTTCGATTTTATACTCTGTAGACAATTAAACACATAATCTAATCTCATCTCTCTCGTAGTCTTCCTTTGCTGTAATTACGAATTTACTTTTTAGTTGGCAAAACAACTTTTTACATTTTAATTAGCTGTAATAATGTTTAAAGCACAGTTATGGTTTATTTATAAAGGACATTATTTCTGTTTAATGTTTTCTTAATCTGATCAGAGAGGGACAGAAACCCATTGTTCTATAGGTGCTGTGTGGAGATGAATTCTCAGCCAGTCCCATAGTACATCTGTTTCCTAATTGCCCTTTCTTTTTGCTGAGACAGTGTAAAACTAAAGTGTTACATGAATAATTCACAATGAACCATTCTGCAATGTGAATACGGAAAGTGATATCTGACTTTGGAGAGTCCAGTATGGCTCCATCCCTGCAGGATATTATTGAAGGATCTTCAATCAAAACTGTTTTGCCTTTGGTTAATGAAACATAACAAGGGGATAATCAGTGTTTTGACTACCGTTGGGTGGCTGGAGCATGGACTGGGCGTTATTGAAGACTAAGATATTGGTGACAGAAAGCTTAGAAGAAGATAGAACCCAAACTATTTTTAACTGTGAATGCTGAACTGTTTCCAAACCGTTCCAAAATAATGCAAATAGTGTAAATAACCTTTCCAATAGCCTTCTCTTGGATCAACAGCAACAAAAGATGTGTTTTAAGGGTTGAACTCAATGGACTTGAGTCTTTTTTCAACCAAGATCACTAGACTCGAATTTTCAGAATAACAGTTGTCATGTAACTGTAGAGTTTTTTGTTGTTGTTCACAGCCCACTCACTAAGACATTATAGCTAAGGTGGAGTTACGCTCCCTTTCACATTATACCAAATTCATACCAGGAGTAGTGAGTAGAAAGTCCCAGCCTGTAACCTGTAATTGCCCATTATCACTGGTATGAATTTGGTATTGAGTAAGGTATGGTGTAACTCCACAGGTTCCATACTGCTGGAGACTGTTTTACTGTTAAATCGTTCAAAAGCAGTTTAACAATAAAACAGGGCATGGTGTCTGGGGACTCCATACATCATAACCACTTTAATCAGATGAAGCAATTAAAGTGCATTAGTCACGCATCCCAGAGGCCTTACTTTAAGTGCTGGGAGAGCATTTCTCAAAAATGGTTAGACACAAACAAATGAGGAGGGCCACCCCAAACACTTGTTGCCAGCTAAACCAGCACAAGGGTGTTCTTTTTGACTCCAGCCTCTCCTTCCCCCCTAATATCCAATCAATTGCCAAATCTCATAAAACATAGCGCGCATCCACCCCTATTTAACTCCAGATGCTGCTAAGGTCCATGCTCTTGTTCTCTCTCGCCTTGACTACTGCAATACTCTTCTCAGTGGTCTTACATGTTCCCAGATTGTACCGCTGCAATCTATAATGATTTTCCTATCCAATTTCACCTCCCAGGCCTCCCCGCTCTTTCAGTCCCTGCATTGGCTTCTAGTTAGATATATGGCTCAAATTAAAATTCTGGTGCTTCCTTACAAGTCTCTACATAATGCTGATCCAAGCTACCTATCCTTCCTAATACACAAGTATATCCCGTCGAGGCCCCTGCGCTCTGCCAAAGACCTACGTATATTTTCTGTTCGTACTCCCACCTCTAATGCTCACCTCCAAGATTTCTCCAGGGCTGCACCTCTTCTGTGGAACTCCCTTCCCTTCTCCGTAAGACTTTCACCCAGTCTCCACTCATTCAAAAAATCACTGAAAACTCACTTCTTCAAGAAAGCATATCAATTAAACTGTTAGCAGGTTTTTATCCCCCACCCCTCATGACTCCTCTCCTGCAACTGTCAAAAATTACCTACTTTTCTAACAACCTACTTCGTACCCCTACTTATACCCTTTGTGTTACTATACCCCACTCCTTCCAGAATGTAAGCTCATGGAGCAGGGCCCTCCACCCTTCTGTTCCTGTACGTCCAGTTGTCTGGTTACAATTACATGTATGTTAGTCCACCCATTGTACAGCGTTATGGAATCTGATGGCGCTATATTAATAATAAAATAATAATGTTATGACCTGCAGTGGTTATGGTACTGCGGTCTTCTATTCCTTTCCTGAGCATTAACCAATCAACATACAGATTTACAGTAACTCCCGCCCTCTCTCTGCCTGTGAGATATTGAGATAAGTTAAGGAATAACTCAATTATCTCCAGGCAGAGGGCACACAATTTTCCCAAAAATTAGAACACCCCTTTCCACACAAAGTATCCGCACAAATTACATATCCCCTGATAGCCCCGATTTGGGGGACCAACATACCCAAATTTCACCCAGATTGGCTTAGGGGTTCTCAAAAAGTATTGAAGTCATAAGTTACCGACCACACATGAAGCTCCTGCCCAAAACAGTTCCACGAATTCAGCGTGTGCGGTCGGTCAATTCAGTAAATGGCATAAAACTAATAAAAGTCCCGAATGGATCCTTCTGACTCATAGGAGCGATTGCTCCCCTTGTGCATATGAACCAAACTACCGAATGGCGCTCTCCTGGCTGTTCGGCAACTAAAGGAAGCAGGCGTTTGGTAGTTTCAGCAGTGGTTCGGAAGGTCGAGTGTCTGATTTTAGTTCCAGACACTCGACAACCAAGTCCCGCTGCCACCTTTCATGTAAACAAGATGGCCGCTGTTTTCTGTTTTACGTGGCATTCGGCTATACGAACAGTGGCCGCCCAGAGAGCGCTTAATAGATTGTTCTTTTGAAGTTAATGAGCCAGGAGGGTGGTCAGTGTTCGGTAGTTTTAAACTACCAAACTAATAAATCCAAACTGAACAAAATACTGCAAAAAAGCCCGAACACAGAAGAAAATACCGAACTCAGTCTATTTTCTTCATAAATAATAATAATAAAAATAGTTACATTGGTTTCTATGGTAACTGATTAATATTTAACATTTTGCTCCACAACTGCACGTTTTTAACTTGCTTAATATGAATTTTTGTACTAAGTGAACTTTTTGTGATTCCACGATAAATATTTCCTTTTTAGCTCAGGAACGTTCAGCTTCTGTTTATTCTAAATGGAAACAAATCACATTTCAGACATTTACAAGACTAAAGAATAATTACAAACCCTTAATATAGCCTCGGGTTGTTAAGCAGTCTCAGGCTTTTGCTTGTTTTTACATAAATAACCCTTATTGAGTTAATATTACAAGTGCTCTGTAATTCCCAGCTAGCTGTTATATTGCCAGAAACGGGGACTACTAAAATCAGTCAATAGGCTAACACAATGGAGGCAGTAAGCTGCCGCTGTGTGGGTTGGGAACTGCCTATAGGAACCCTTGTAATTAAAATTCAGCTCAGTTCCTTGGATTGCTGAATTAAATGTGGGTGTTTTCAGTTTTGCTCATTCGAACTGATTTTCACATAATTCAAAGCTGGAGAAATGAAGTAAAGCAGTTTGTTTAGTTTAATGCATGGATTCACACACGGATCCGTCCCTGTAACATGTGTGTGATTACAAGAGAAATGAATTGAACCCTGTATGGGATACTCCGGCAGTCATTGGAAAGATTAACAGTTAATCATTTTAATACTGTGATAGAGGGTTTGCATGTTTGAAGCATATATCTCAGTTTTAGTTGGTTTTAATTAGAGGGTAACAGTGACATCATTTATGTGGCGGACATGAGCCAGGATCAGCTGAATTTAACCTTTAAACCATGACAGGTGCATTTGCCTAAACCCAGGTTCATCTCTATCTGGGCCTAACTCAGAGGCCTCAATTTAATATTTTTTGCATAAGCTTTTGAAAAATATATTTTTTCTAAATATTAAAATATCTAAAATATATGATATGTAGATCAATATATTAAAAAAAGTTAAATAATTTTCAAACTATTAAATCATTTAAAAATGTAATTTTAAAAGCTTAAAAATATTAAATTGATGCTCCTTTTAGTACAGTCTAATGCAGACATTATACTGAGAATCTTAGCTGAATCTCTTCCATGTTAATTACTGCATATTACACCTGACATGCATAGGCGTGCGCAGCCTATTGCATAAGGCACAAGCACAAACACACACGCCGCGTGTAAATATATATACATATATATATATATACACACACACACACTGTGGGTGCTGTGTGTGGGCGCTGTGTGTGTGGGCGCTGTGTATGTGAAAGTGCTGTGTGTGTGTGTTTGTGAGGATGGTGGGTTTGTGTGTTAGGGTGCTGTGTGTGTGTGAGGGTGCTGTTAGTGTGTGTGTTTGTGAGGATGCTGGGTGTGTGTGTTAGGGTGCTGTGTGTGTGTGAGGGTGCTGTTGGTGTGTGTGTGTGGGGGGGGTATGGTGCTGTGTGTGTGTGTTTGTGAGGGTGGTGTGTGTTTAAGGGTGCTGTGTGTATGTGAGGGCACTGTTATTGTGTGTTTGTGTGTGTGTCTGTGCAAGGGTGTGGGCTAGAGTTAAAGCCTGTGGGGCTAGAGTTCACTCTTGCGAGATCTGAGCATTGCCGCGGAAACACTCCGACCTCGCAAGAGCAACCTGGCGGAGCTGCTGGCTAGAGCTCCCCGGGTCCTCTCCTGCCTCCTGAAAGGGTTAATTCTGTTCTGGACTCAACTCCAACTCGATTCTCGATTCTCGATTCTCCGGTCACCGCATTAATTGACGGGAGTTCCTGTTTAGCAAATTAAGACGCAGACATGAAAGAGTGCTTAACAAGTTCTCAGTGAGTATATTTTCAGGGCTAGCATTTATACACAGTTTGTCACGCAAGCAGCGAGATTTATCGTTTCCTTGTAGTTAATAGTACATACTTGTCTGACATTAGAAGATAAGCATTTGAATAAATACGGTACAGGAACATCCTGAGGTCGAGCAAGGTCATACATCCTGTAGAAGGGAGGCCTCTCAAAGCATGTTATACAATACATCTGCCAAGGTCTGCATAATTATTTCAAACATTATTTTAAAGCATATAAAGCAAAAAGAGTTAACTAGTTCATATCCTTACATTCTCCTCTTTGAGCAAAAAAATTTGCTCATATTATTGATAAAATCTTCCCAGGACAGAGAAACTTCCACATGGTATTTTCAGGGGTGCTAGTCACTCCCTGCGGGACTTTCATTAATTTCTTCACCTCGATTCCCATGTGGTAATTCCTAAGGCCCAGTTTTAAAGATGGGTTGATACCCTCCAGTGGCAGAGAGGAGAATTTCCAATTGTTTCTGTTCTGCATTATGGATTCATTTCTGTATTCTCTTCCTCAATGTACAAGTAAGGTGGCAGTTATATAAAATCATACACAATAAAATCAGGACTATAATAACAAGAGGATAGAAAAATGATTTCATTATCTGGGATCCAGTAGGGGACCAACCAGTAAAAGCATCGTACCAATGATGGGCTGAATCATTCTGAATTTGTGAACTCACCTTAAGGAGTTCTCCTTTTAGGATATGTGTGGCTACCTGTGTGTGTACTATAGCATCATTATGTGTAACAAGATGTTTAAACATATTTTGTTTTCCTTTTATTAAGGAGACAATAGTCTCAAGAGGTAAATGGTAATCTTTAAAAGGCAGAGAGCCTAATAGGGCATTAATATGTTTGTCTAAAGTGATTGTGTCGCTGAAATAATATTGGGTGCCATTAAGATCTAACCAGGTACCATTAGTCAAACATCCTGAAAAGGGGAGAGGTAGATTAATACTTGTATTACTAGTAATTATCTTTGTAGGGAGGTTAGTTGCCAAACACATATGTCGTGTGCTTATTTCAGTCATGGTAAAATAATTTTCAGGATATATGTGCCATATCCACTTCATTTTGGAGTAAGCATGGTTCGTAAATAGGGGACAAGTGTCGACATGCATATCCTTTGTCAGTGAGAACACAGTGTTTAAGGGAATAGGTCATATTATCTTTGGGGAAAATATAGTCCCCTGTGTATGTGGGTGCCCACCAGGTTAAATTCCTTGCAAAGAGATCATAAACTGGTACTGGTAATGTGTTAAATTGACAAGCTAATTTAACATCCTTTGATGATGTATGATATAGTGTAAAATAGCATGAGCATGAAAAATGTGAAACATTACCAGTTAACCATTCATTGCATTTAGTGGATTGGGTTTTTAGAAGTAACCATTCATATGTGAGGTTAAGCATCCCTCTAATCTTCTCTAGTTTAGGAATCATTAGTGTGTCTTCTAATGTCAACCTTTGTTGTTGCATCCATAAATACCTGATGGCACAAGTACTCCAGTTACCTAGACCTGTAGTGAATTTCATAGTTGCCTAAATAGTTATACATTGATTCATAGTTACCTAAATAGTTATACATTGATTTATCTAAATCCAATCCTGTAACCTGTGATTTTACAAGAGTTTGAGCCCAGTTTGCAGTAGCATGGAAACCAGTCCCTACATGCATGCTGGCCGTGTTTAACTTATTCTTGAGGGTCTCCATGTCTATACTATTTAGTATACCCACAGTGGTTCCAGCACCTCAGCATAGTGTGTCATACCCAGGGCCGTCTTTAATATGGATTGGACCCTGGGCAAACATTTGCTTGGGCCCCCTGAACCCGGTCGTCCCCTCCCTGGCATGCAATCATGCCCCCCACCCCAACGCAGAGGCGGACGTAAAGTAGAGAGGGCTCTGGTGCATGAATTATTTTGGGCAAGAGGGGGCAAAAGGTAGATCCCCATCTGTCATGCAACTCCAACAATGCTTTGACAGCTGGGGAGCTACCATTTTCCCATGCATGCAGGTTATATTTAGCACTGAGCAGTATTTGTGTGTTTGAGTGTAAGCATGTTTTTGTATGGAGTATATTTGTGTGAATGTAGGGGTGTGTTTGTATGTGGAGATGGCATTTAAATGCAAGTATGCATTTATGTGTAGTGTTGGTTTATGAATACACTGGTGTGTTTATATATAATTTTGTTGTTTAAAAAAAGAGGTGTGTTTATATGTAGTGTTGAAGTTTGAATGCAGGTGTGTATTTGCGTGTAGTGTTGAATGCTGAGATGTATGCACAAATACACATGCACTGTCACAAACACACACACACACACACACACACTGTGATACACATACACACACAGAAACATTTGCAGATACACAGATATACACAATCATACAGATGCAGCTATACAGACACATTTACACACACTGACACAAACACATACAGACACACAACCTGGCACACATGCAGACACACAGATGCACACTCGCACACACACGCAGATACACTGACAACATACAGATACACAGACACACACAATGACAACATACAGACACACAGATACATAACCTGACAAATGCAGATACAAACACTGACACACATGCAGATACACACATTGGCTACATACAGATACATGCACAGGTATACACACTGGCACACACACACAGATACATACATACTGACAACATACAGATACTCACTGACACACACACACACACACACACAGACACTGTGACAGACATACTGACACTGTGACAGACATACATACTGACACATACACAGACATACTGACTGGCACACCGACATACATACAGACACACAAACTGACACACACAGACATACTGACATACACACAGACATACATACTGACACACAGACATATACTGACTGACACATACATACTGACACACACACAGACATACTGACACACACAAAGACATACATACTGACACACACACATACATACAAACTGACACACAGACATACAAACTGACACACAGACAGACATACATACTGACGCACACACAAACAGACACTCTTCAGTTTCATACCTTTGAAAGAGGCTACCTTCCCTCGGGTCCAGTGTGCTGGCTGGGGTAGTTGGGAGTTGGGGGTCTGGCTATTCTTGCTCCCCCTCCTCACTGGATGCTGGCTCAGCAGCCTCCCGGGCGGCCCGATGTCTTTGAGGCGGGAGGAAGTGATTCGCGGACGTCACTTCCTCCCATGCAGCCGTTAAGCAAGGACCCGGTCGCGTTGTTAAAGGGCCACAGCTCCGAACGGACCCCTGCTGGTCATACCATTCCCTTTTCTGCCTTTTGTTTGCTGTGTTACATAATGTTACAACAGGAGTAGTGATTTTTAATGACACATGTACAGCTTGTAAGAAGGCAGTTGTATTAACACATGTGGACGGAATAGGTGTGTGTGTGTCGTTGTTGACTTTTGGTTCTATGGTAGAGGATAAAGGACAGTAATAAGGTGTAAAAATATAAGGTAGTGTACAGTTCTCAATCGCAGTGTCGTTCATAATGACTAACATTTGTCCCCTTTTCCAATTAATGGTACCAGTTGTATAATCATTATTAAAAGTAATAAGGCCTGTCTGTTTACATTGATATGCAACCTTACTAATTTTCTTATATGTCCCAAACCTGTTGAGGTGGTTTTTTCTTACCATCAGAACCTATATTAAATAAGGTGGAACAGATACTAGTGTAATTAGCAACCTTAACTGTGCACATTTCTGCGTTATAAGATCTAACAATTTTCTGTGAACCTTAAAACAAACATAATGCATCGGTTTCATTAGCTGTGGACACATTCCATATGGGTAACTGGTACTTATAAGGGTTATTATTTATCCAGTTCATCCATATGTGTTCAGTCAATGAGTGCTTGCATATTACATGCTGATAGATAGGTGGTGGAGAAAGGTTCTTGAGGGAGCGTGTGTGACGAATGCTAGATGAGGGGCTAAGGCCTAATTGGGCTGGGGGTATTGAAGAATTGTTCATTGTGTCAGAGTCTTTTCTCCAGAAACAAACAGGTTTCAAACTTCCCATTGACTTGTACTCATAATGGCATTCAAGGAACAATATCAGAGGGAGTATAACAACTCCAGAAAGCATAATCTTGGTCTCAGGGTCGTATGATCCTCTCAATCTACGATATGGTGTGAAAGCCATGATGCTTCGCTAAGGGGAAATTCTTCTGTTTCCGAGTGAGGAGTGGTGTTGTCTTCCTTGGTTTCCCTCTTTGGACACAGTTTCACTCGGGATGCGTGAATCCAGATGTCGTGGGAATCTGTGAGGACAGCGGTTCTGGTTACAGCAATCACAGTAGCAGGTGGTCCGAAAGGATATCCTCCTTTCTTGGTCCTGTTCAGCTGACGGATATACACCTTGTCACCGGGCTGATATGGATGAGTAGGTTCCTGTGAAGTTAAGGGAAACTGCGAAGAAACATTGCCATTTATACCATTCAGTTTATCAACGATTCCTGTACATATTGTTCTTGTATTAGCTGTAAATCCCCAGACATTATAACAAGCGGTTCCCTGGCCCAGGGTGTGGGAAAAGGTTGTCCCATCAGAATCTCAAATGGAGATAATTTAGTCACCTAAAATAGCTGGAAGATATTTTGTCCAATTTACCCATGTTCCTGCAGGAGCTTTCATAAGCTTCTCCTAATAGTCCTATTCATCCTTTCTACTACCCCTGAACTCTGTGGATGATAGGGTATATGAAACTTCCAGGTAACTTGCAAGAATTTAGCAAGTTCCTGGGTAACCTTACTGGCAAAAGCCGGGCCATTATCAGAGTTAATCTGCAGAGGGCAGCCATACCTGGGAATAATTTCAGTAGCAAGAATCTTCACTACCGTCCTAGCATCCTCCCTAGATGTCACAAAGGCCTCGGGCCATCTACTAAGCTGATCAACTATGACCAGTAAGTATTGCTGTTTCTTACCAATTTTGCGTACATGAGTAAAATCAATCTTTAAGTGTGTAAAAGGAGCAGCTGGAGGGGGCAAATGTTCGTGCTGTGATTTGTGTGGAATATTAGGATGTGTTCTCATACATGGTTCACATGATCTTACAAAAGACTGTACATGCTTCCTGAGATTCCTAATATAAAATGAATTCATGAGGAATTGGATGGTGCTTGCCATGCTTTTGTGAACTGGGACCATGTGCCAGACTGATGAAAATAAAGCAGCTGGCTTCTGATATGCCTATTCTCCCCTCTTTAGAGAAAAGATCATTCTGATCTTTTTCTAAACCTTGTTTAATCCAAAAAATCAAAGTCAGTTTGCGTTGCAGAGGCTTGGAGCTGCAAAAGCAAACTGTCAGTAGGGCATGTGGGAGGTGTGAGCATAGCAGGAAACATTTCATAGTAAAGAGTCTCGGCTGCAAATTCTTTTGCCACTTTGTCAGCCAAGGCATTACCTCTGGAAATGTCATCACTACCCAGAGTGTGTGCCTTGTAGTGGATAACAGCTACTTCAGATGGGAGTAGGATAGCATCCAGGAGTGATTGGATGAGATTTGTGTGTGAAATGGCTTATCCATCGGCTCCTACAAAGCCTCTTTGTTTCCAAATCACACCAAAATCATGCACTACCCCATGAGCATATCGTGAGTTTGTGTAAATGTTCACTTGCTGTCGTGAGAAAAGCTGACAGGCACATGTGAGAGCAATGAGTTCTGCAGCTTGTGCAGACGGCTGGAAAATAGTGTCAGCTTCAATGATTTTATCAGGTAGCTGTACCACGGCATAGCCTGGGAGGTACGTACCGTCATTTGGTCTGGAGCAAGAGCCATCCATAAAGACAGTGGTCACATCCGAGCATGCAAAACAGACATAGGACCAGAATTAACAGGACTATAGACAATAGACAGATTTTGGGTATTAAGAAGAATAATCTCATAACCACTTAAGCGCTGGGCTGTCATGTGTTGTGTGGTGAGATTTTTTACCAGCTGAGTGACCTGGTGACTGGTATGGAGTATTGTAGGATGCCCTAGTGTGATAGTAGTAGCAGTCTCAACAGCCATTGCACATGCTGCCAATGCTCTGAGACACGCCGGCATACCCTGTACCGGAGCTGGAACTACTTTGGAAAAGAATGCTATGGGACGCATACCGCCTCCGTGCTCTTGTTCACAGACCGCGGCCATGGTTTTACAGTTGTCCTGAGCATACAAATGAAATGGTTTACAATACGCAGGTAGTCCTAAAGCCGGGGCTTGCACAATAGCAACTTTAAGGGCAATATACGCAGCTAGCATGTCTGGTGACCAGAAGACATTTTCAGGGCTGTCAGAACGTGCAGCCTCCCTTAGGATTGAGTCATAATGGGAGCATTCAGGGATCCATTGGCGGCAGTAATTAATCATGCCGAGGAAGGTGAGCAACTCCTTCCGAGTAGTGGGTTTAGGAATCCTCTGAATGACCTCAATACATTTTGGACTCAATTGTCTGGTGCCTGAAGCCAGAACAAAACCTAAGTAATCAACCTTTGATTTACACAATTGCATTTTGTGTTTTGCAACCTTGTGACCCACAGCTGCTAAGTGTTTGAGCAAACTGACAGTATCCACAGTGCTTGCCTTATAGCGAGGGCTACATAACAACAAATCATCAACATATTGCAAAAGGACGGAACCATCACCAGGGGTCCATGTTTTTAGAGTAATGTTGGAGTACCAGCAAATAAACGGCTGGGGTAAGCGTGTCCTGGTATACTGACAGCCTTCAAAAGTAAAAGCCATAAGTAGCTGTGTCTCTTGATCAATAGGTATAGAAAAAATGCATTACTTAAATCAATGACAGTGAAGCAAGTGGCATCATGTGGAATGGCTGTAATGAGGCATATCACATTAGGGACAATGGGTGCAATGGGCACAATTAAACTATTCAGGGCTCTAAAGTCCTGAACTAAGCGATAACCATTACCTTTAGGAACTGGATTAATAGGTGTGTTATATGGGGAAACTACTGGCTTTAGTATTCCCTGCTCTAGAAAAGATTGGATCATGGGGCGAACTCCCTCAACCTTGGCTTCTGACAGGGGGTACTGTTTAAGGTAGATAGGAGTTACATCTGGTTTTAGTTTGACTTTGTAAGGGGTGCAGTTGACAAATCCTACATCTAACTTAGATGAAGCCCACACAGAGGAAGGAACATCAGACAAATCAATAGTTTCAGAACACAACATAGACACATCAATACCACCAGAGGATGTGCAAGTAATGGTAGCTCCCAGAATACCAAGAAGATCCCTTCCCAGCAAACTAACAGGACATTTAGGTATTAGACGAAAAGGGTGCACAGTAGAAGAACCATTAAGAGGACAGAAAACAGACAGTGGTGGTGTGACAAAAGTGGGTGTTGACACTCCATTAATACCCAATGAAGGTGTAGACTTTTCCCTTGTCCCCTGATAATAGGTGTCACAGAGACTGGAACACGTAGCTCCAGTATCTACCAAAAATGGCAAGGATCTACCTTCTATGACCAGAATGCAAAAAGGCTGATCATCATTAGTAGAGGACAAAAGTGGAAAAGTTGGAGTGTCACCTTCAAGGCAGTTTGGGTTTGCTGGAGCGAGGGGAGAGGGGGAAGTGCTGGCCAGTGTTGGGAGTGGGCCTGGTGTTGTTCTTGCCTACCGGGCGTATTTTGAGCATTGTGGGGTTGTTGGGGCTGCTGGGGTTTCCTGGGGTGTGAACACTCATTCCTGTGGCCACAGTTAAAACAAGTGTTCCTGTCTATTCCTCCTTGGTTACCCCTGCCCCTATAACCCTGACACACACACACACAGACATAGTGACACACACACACAGACATACTGACACACACACACACACACACAGACATACTGACACACACACACACAGACATACACACACACACAGACATACTGACACACAGACAGACCTACTGACATACATTTAGCCACCCTCCAGGTTCTTACCTTTTCCTGGAGGGTGGTTTCCCTGGTCCAGTGGCAGGCTGAGGCAGATGGGAGTACTCCTCTGGAACTCCCCTCCTCCCTGCCTTCCTCCTCCCGCGCGGCCATTATCTCCAGTGGGAGGAAGTGACGTCACTTCCTCCCAGCCAGCTGGAGAACCGGAAGAGGGGCCCGGTCGCGCTGTTTAAGCGCCAAAGGCGGCCGACCGGGCCCCTGCTGACACATGCTCCCCGGGTGGCCCTTAGTGCATGGGCAACCCGGGGAGCCTCCTCAGTGTGCGGGAGCCGCACCGCCCGGTCCATAGGGGCTGCGCAAATCGCGGGGCCCACAGAGCAGCTGGGCCCGGGGCAGCTGCCCCGTTTGCCCCGCGTTAAAGACGGCCCTGGCTCTATGTGCTCCATCCCATCCTCTCTCTCGGGCCTGTGTAGGTGGACAGTGTTGCAGTCCCTGAGCACAATAAGCAACCTTACTTCCTGAATCTTTTCTTAAGTCAAAACAACCTGCATTTTTCTTCTCTATAACCTTGGTAAGAAAATCTGAGCCACCCAAATTGACCCAGTCTGAAATCAACTGTTTCACAAGCAAAGAATACTGTGGCAACATATTACCAAGGCATAACTGTATTTTAAGGAGATCCATATCATCTCAAAGACTTCAAACCTGCCTCATCCTTCCAAAAGTTGTAAAATCTCTTTAAAAATACCAATCTCTTCCTTTGCACCTTGCTTACATGCCAAAGCAGTGGATATAGACTGCTTATTAATAATTTGAGAGAAAAAGTACAAGTAAACCCAGAGGATACAGTAAATCTAAGTAGTATACCAACTGGTTTCTAGTACAGTTAGAGTATAAAATATAACTTTTAATTATAAAATATATAAAAGAAAGCACAGTCACTATGAGAAAATAAATAGTTAGGAGGGCCCAAGACTTGTCACTTTTATCGAATAGTGGCACAGGTGATGCAGGGAGTCCCTTGGAAGAGCCGACACTCGGCAAAACGCGCGTCGGTTCAAGTTTAGTTGAGGGTGAAGGAGTTAGACAGGGACGATGCTGCAGCTGTTATTTTCCTCCTAGTTTAGCCACCCTCGTTATTTATGCTAGATAGACTCTATTTTAGATAGTTAGTAAGTAAGCTTTTCTACGTTCGACCTTATTAGCTTATTACTTGGGAGCTGGGTTCATTTTTGCCACTACGGTGATACTGGGTGATAGGAGTGTGGTGGTGATACTGGGCTATTATTTTCAGACCACACTTTAACCCCCTAATCCCCGCATCACCTGTGCCACTATTCAATAAAAGTGACAAGTCTTGGGCAAATACCCTTATTGTGTTTTTTTTCCCTCCTAACTATTTATTTATTTTTCTCATAGTGACTGTGCTTTCTTTTATATATTTTATAATTAAAAGTTATATTTTATCAGCTTATGGGCTGCTCTAACTGTACTAGAAACCTGTTGGTATACTACTTAGATTTACTGTATCCTCTGGGTTTACTTGTACTTTTTCTCTCAAGTTGTTATTCTAGTAGGGGTTACCCCCCCTTTCCACTTTAGCAACCTGACACACTCTCTCTATCTTTTTCTTTATATAGACTGCTTATTCTTCCATAATCTCAACATTTCAGCTTCCACCTCGTCCCACATTTTAGTACATCCTGCTAAAGTACTAAACTCATAAACACCATCACTACCAGCCTCTCCAACTCCAGTACCGTTGTCTGTCTCACTGATAGAGGGTACCCTAGACCAATCCCAACCAGAATCTGAGTCATACCCTAATATTCCATTTATAATTAACCGTATGTCTATCTGTGTCATGTTCTGTCCTAAACACATTATTTTCAGATACATAAGGCATGCAGAGGGATTAGTACGGGGTTTGGGGCACCTTGAATAATGTCCTTGAGTACTCCGGGATTAATGGGTTTCATTATTAACTGATTACCAACAGTCATGAACGGGGCAGTAAGATCAGCACCTTCTAATTCTGGCATCTCTACATGATCATCACATTGCTTATGTACATATGATTTTAACACCTTGCCACTTTTAAGTTTAACTCCCATTTGTACTGTTAATTTAATTGTACCGAGAGGTGGCGGTGGATATTCTATATCAGAATCTGGTGTAGATGATGATTCCTGTAATTGCTGTGATTGTGAATTAACAGCTGCAGCAATACAAATATCTTCTATATCATCCTCTGAGGGGGCATTAGGTACAGCAGGATACATTGCTTTATAGGAAGGTGGGGGTTGTGGTTGGGCATGGCTGGGGGTTAACTGGGTAGGGGCACAATTGGTGGTGGATATAGATTTTCAGGAGGGGCTTCTATGGGAAAGCAGATGGTATTACTGTCAACAGTTCCCTTTCTCTTAGCCAGGTCTTTCTTAGCTCTCTTTAAAACCTTTCCTGTTACACTACAAGGAAACCAATGAGGGGCTATCTGCAACCAATTTTCACCTCCTGCTTTCATATATTCCTTATCCCAGTCTGGATCAGGACCATACCACGGCCATGACTTCCTATCTCCCAAACGCAATCCTTGAATCATATTCATATGGAAATCATCATTAGCCCCACACCTGGGAAAAGGATCAGATGACTTCATAGTCTCTGTCCATCCTGCTAAATTTGACACAAAGGGGATTGTAATAAATCCTCCTTGTGTTCCTATTCTAGTAACATAATTTAGACATGACTCCCCTGGAAATAGACTGATTATTTCCCATATTTCTGGCTCAGGGTAGAGACACTACCTACTTACCAATAGTGTGTCTCTACTTAACAAGCAAAATAAACACAAAAAAGACACAGGGTGACCAGAGGAACGATAAGTTTGGGTTATTCTAGATCTATAAACCGTGTTTCCTAGAACACCTATAGTCTTAATAAACCGGAGACTCCTTTATAGTCTCAAAACCTGTATCTACCCGAGATACCCAGTATCTATCTTAGATACTAACCTGGGTTACCAAGAACCCTATACTAGACCAACGGTCCAGTAAAAAAGGGAGACCTATTTACAGTCTCAATATAACTAAAGTCCTTACACCTTTCCTATCTACTGGATACAGACTTACTGAACCAAAGGGGGTCATAGACAATCAGCGTCAATAAGACACAAAAAGGCTACTTACATACAAAGGTCCTGCTGTAATCCCACTTCAAACACCAAGCTGAAAGGGTTAATGCTGTTCTGGACTCAACTCCCCTCGATTCTCGATTCTCCGGTCACCATATCAATTGACGGGAGTTCTTGTTTAGCAAATTAAGACGTAGACACGAAAGAGTGCTTAACAAGTTCTCAGTGAGTATATTTTCAGGGCTAGCATTTATACACAGTTTGTCACGCAAGCAGCGAGATTTATCGTTTCCTTGTAGTTAATAGTACATACTTGTCTGACATTAAAAGATAAGCATTTGAATAAAGATGGGACAGGAACATCCTGAGGTCGAGCGAGGTTATACATCCTGTAGAAGGGAGGCCTCTCAAAGCATGTTATGGAATACTTCTGCCAAGGTCAGCATAATTATTTCAAACATTATTTTAAAGCAAATAAAGCAAAAAGAGTTAACTTACACCTCCCTCCCTGCCTGTCTTTGATCTCTCTCACCGGCCCACGGCAGCACAGACACACCCGCACACCCCATGCGCACGTCTATGGTGACATGGATTATGAAATCCTTTACTTACCATATCCAGCTACATATGTACATCTGTTATTTATACATTCGAATTAGCAAAAATGGCAAACTAATGTGGGTATATTCCTACTGCACCTAAATTCCATGCAAGATGACACAAAACCAAACGGTTTAAAAACAAAAGTGTGCTTGAAACATAGCACAATCAATGATATTCCAGGTAAGTTTATTTCTTTCTTTACAGAGTTTTGTAGAATATTGCATATTCTATGTTTCTATTGATTATGTATGGATGTCTGGATTGACATAAGTAACAGGTGGTTTCACAGCCACAAGGCTTTGTCTGAGAAATCTGGGATGTGGATTGGGGGTCTTGTCCTTATATGGCTAGGGCTATATGTTTATTTTCCTTGTCTGACACCATTTCTAAAACAGCTGTTTTTTTCCAGTGTTATTTCTACTTTGTGATAATCACCAGAGGGGACTCTATAACAGCCATGATCCCAGGGCATTGTGCACAGCCATCCTGAAGGACGTTACGGGGAGGGCCACTGTTGGAACGCATAACAACGCAAGGAGGAACACATCTTACTTCTGGTTACACTTATAAACATACGAGCAACAGCTGAGTTACAACACACGAAAAATAGGTGGAGCAAATTGTGATAGCGAAAGAGAGAGAAATAGAATAAAATTAATACTTCTCTTTCTTCTAATTTTAAGCTGTGGAAAATAGAGAGATACAAAATAGTGCAAATATTGCTGTACACAAACTCTTAATAAAATATGTGTCAAATACACTCACAATGAAAGAGCCATATAGTATAACCTGGCTCTGGTGTGGATTTCCTCTGGGATCTTAATAGGGTGATCCCCAGACCTCTTTGATGCTTGTTGTAATCAGTCTCCCCTCAATGATGAACCGTGGGAGGTGTTTTCCAAGCAAAAAATATTTATTAAATAAAATAAGTAATAGTAATACAGAAAATAAAACCTTATAATGTCCAATGTGCTTGCCAAAACGCGTTTCGCCAATGTGGCTTCCTCAGTTGGCATATGATGATAGTGTCCTCTTAGTTCTTTAAATCCTCTCAAAATTCGCGGTCAAACTTCTGGTGGAACGCATATGCGTTCCACCCAGTACTTCCGGGTTCCGTCCCCTTAGTGGCGCCCATGTCACTTCCGGTTTCGATGGTGCTTCAGAGTGTTAGGTGGAACGCATCCATGCGTTCCACCGTTACGTTCCTGTTTCCGTGGCGTCATTCATTATAGTTGAATTTATAAGGAAATTCCCCATATAAAGACCACCCCAAATTTCTCTTATACAGCAAATTCCAGAGACCTCATGGTACAGAATAGCAAACGCCATCTGTTCTGTTTAACCCATTAGACAGCCACACCTTAATATGTATTTGAATAGGAACATATAGAATATGCAATATTCTACAAAAAGTATAAAGTTGAAAAACTGCCCTTTGTACAATAAGGTTAATTTATTTCTGAATGTGAATCTTGAAATCATATTTCCCAGCAGCAATGGTTAATACATGGTGCTGCGTTATCTAAATATAGCAATGTGCATTTTAATGATTCATATTTAATAATAGTGCAATAAGTGCTGATTAGAGCCTGAAAACGAGTCATTTTTGTCAAATATAGACAGAGGCAACAAAAGCTCCCGCCAATGGGAAAAGTCTCCAGTTATGAATACTGAACACCATAATTAGCGCTTTATTTAAATGTTAACATGGGGGAAATGTTAATTTATTCATAATTCCAGCTTTCAAAAAAAAACAAAAAAACTTTGTTGAAATATTTTTAAAAATATAAAGTTATCTTCTGAGTGGGAACAGATCACATATTTTGTTTATTTCAGGATTATTTTAGACTCAGACAAACATCAACTGACAGATCCAATATTTCTGCAGATCAAACAATTGTTTTATTCTGTAGTTAAAATATTAAAAGGACACTATAGGCACCAAAACAACTTTATCTTAATGAAGCAGTTTTGGTGTACAGATCATATCCCCGCAGTCTCACTGCTCAATTCTCTGCCATTTATGAGTTAAATCAATTGGTTTATACAGTCCTTCTCACACCTCCCTGCATGTGACACAGCGTTCCTAAACACTTCCTGTATAGAGAGATCTAATGTTTAAACTTCCTTTATTGCATAGTCTATTTCATTTAGAATTTCTTATATCCTGCTTTGTTAATAGCCTTCTAGACCCTGCAAGACCCTAATATGAGCAGGAGATGAAAACTTCTAAAGCAAGCTAACATCTGATTGAAAATGAAACAATTTTTTTCATGCTGGCTGTGTGAGTTGTGGCTAGGGCTTCATAAACAGAAACAAAAGAGATTTAACTCCTAAATGTCAGAGTATCGATTCGATATTAAGACAGATTACTGGACTGGCACTCTGGACTGATCTGAGACAGATTTCCACTTAATGTTTCACAACTTTTCAACCAGCCCCAGCATGAGTGTGCTGTAAAGTGACTGAGCACTTTAATGTGGTGGGCATATGCAGTAGGAGTTGCTAAAAAAAACTAACGAGAGGCAACACAGTGCTCTGTCAGAAATGTCCCTCTCATTGTCACCACTGGCTTTACACATTTGAGTAAGTGCCCTTGCTTAGTCAGTCCTCAGGCACTCACTAGGACTATTGGGTGACATAACCCATTGCAGGGGCAATGAGCTGCTGCACTCCTCCCTGTGCCACTTCCAATATGACATCTTGCTTCTCTTTCCTGTGGACACTAGCCCCACCCCCAGGACCATCAGCAAACAACTGTCAGTCAATAGAGAGGCCAGTAGCATGCCTCCACTCATAGGAAGTGGGCTCTGCTGCCCAGAAGGAAACCCAGTGGAAATTCCTTCTTGATTGACACGGGCATGTGCAATACCTGCTGAAACAGGGCCCCTTTGACATGCCTAGATGCGCTCAAGATTCTCCAAACCACTACCAATGAGATGGTAGGGGTCCTGCAAAACTGAACGTTGTTACAGAATTAAAGACCAATTCTTTCCACACTTTATTACTAATCTCCCCTTCAAAAATATAATGTGTTTTTAAACTACTGCAAATAATTGTGGGGTTTGTTCTGTCTAAAGAGACTTAACTGTATCTACTGTATGTTGATTCCTAAATTCCACAGCCCTCCAAAATAGGTTGGACTTTGATCACACAGGCTCTGACGTATTGCACCCACTAACTGGTAAGAAGTGTCAGATTCCCGAGTAATCTGCGGGATGGGTTTCGGATGAAGACAATCAAGGAGACCATTAAAAAGTTTACATTAACTTTGTTTTAGGTAAATCTGCCTTGGGATATGGTTTAGGATTAAGTATTAATTAAAAATAGTTATTGTACCATTATACAGTCACAGGTTAGCTGTACTCCGTGTGGACGTTTTGACAAGTTACTTTGTCAAGAGATTATCTGCAGGTTGATATGAATGGATGTCAACTACTCATGTATCAGATTTACCCTGCTTTTTGCTTTACCCCCCAATGCATGGTGTACTTAAGTGAATGGATTGATAAAACCTGGAGAAGAGATTCATGGAACCTATTCAGATAAGCCATGAGATATTGATGATTCGGAACAGTGCTCAGAGGTCCTCAGAATACCCACCTTGTCCTCCGGTTCCTAGCTGAGCAGCCTGGTTGGTGAAGCCAAGTAATATTAAGGGATTGGGATTTGACAGGTTTTCACAAGTTAATATGAAAGCATTTTAACTAGAAGTGTTAGTTACATCCAGCTCTTTGCTTCCCACCCTATGCATGGGAAACCCTGGAGAAGAGATTTCATGAAATCCATCCAGATAAGCCATGAGAGTGATGATTCAGAATACACAGAATTATTCAGAATACCCACCTTGTACTCTGGTTCATGGCTGAGCAGCCACACAGTAGCCATGGCCAGGGTAGTTGTATTGACTTCAGGTAAGGTATCCAAGATGATTTGATAAGTTGCCCCTTTCCCGGAAGGAGGTGGCTTCCTCATAGATGAGGGACCATTGGGCATCCAACCATAAAAGTCAAACTGTTATGGGGAGAAAGTCACAAGTAGCAGATTATAGAATATTTAATATGCATAGTAAATATGCAATCTACAGTATTGTGCAGCAAAATGTATTTAGGTTTAGAGTAGCTAAAATGCAACAACATAGTGGAGTTCTACATGTTTGAGATCTGCACTTTTTTTAGACCAGTGTCCATAAGACATATATGAGCAGTGGTAGAAGTGACATGTACCCGAAGGGAAATATTTCATCCTGCTGATGTAAATTCTTACCAAGGAGGACTTGCATTGTGAAATTTGCCCTTATTTGAAACCAAAAGTGAGGCTGTGCCATCTTAAGTTTGTCAAGATGGACAAGTAAGCAACATTTAAAAAAGTATGAATGTTGAGATTTATGAAATATGGTTTGTGAATAGTCCCATTTAAGAAATAGAAGCTAGTGTTGCCACTTGATCCATGTGGTAATTACTAAGACTCTGTGTGACACGAAGATAGTGTGCCAATGGCACACTGGTTTCATACTTAATGTGATTTTTCAAAGCACCTTGGAACCTTCAAAAGATTAGGAGGGACACTTCTAGTCCTGAGGCAAAGACTAGTATGCTAGCATATTTGCTGTGGGCGGTTGGAGTGCCATAGGTCATTTGTCACAGCATACCAGAGACGTAGAGTCAAGCATACTATTTTATGTGTGTGTTGATGTTTGACCACCTCACATTTCTAAGTTATGGAGAAAAGAGCTCTGAGGAAATTAAGTCTGCTATTTCCTTTCCAATCCCACAACTTACTGTTTGTATTCACTAGCCTCCCCAGAAGTCTGCACATTTTAATCACTCACCTGGCCACTGTTGACAGGAGCATGCTGCCCAGAACACGTGAAGATCACCATGGTCAGGTATTTAATGAAATTAGCTCATCCCGGGTCCCCAGAGAAGATGGAATTAAAGTCTTCTATGAGATGCATTTTAATCATATACCTGTACCATTATAGGTATTACTATTCAGTCTACGGTAAAGGACTTAGACATTGCTTCTTAGATCACATATTAGACTGCATCCAAGATCAATATCAGCCCAGTCCAAAGGGCATACGGTTTCTCAGTTCTAACCATTTTAGAATGTATTACTCTTGAAAGGCCAAAGCTAGCATTTGACAATGCAGAAAGATTAGAGATAAATAGGCCTGGGATAAAGCATATCCCAATGGATTAGTGGCAAAGTTACTTTTAAAGAGAACTGAAAGTTTAATACCAGAGAAGATAGCACAATATACATCCCCAGAAAACCCAAGTCATATTTCGGTTACCGTATATACTCGAGTATAAACCGAGTTTTTCAGCACATTTTTTGTGCTGAAAAACCCCAACTCGGCTTATACTCGAGTCAGTCTGTATTATGGCAATTTATATTGCCATAATACAGACCAGGACCGCCGGGCTCATTGCAAGCCCGGCGGTCCTGTTGGGGGCTGGCAGTGAGCTCTTACTTACCTTCCTGCAGCTCCTGTCAGCTCCCTCCTCCTCCGTGCAGCTCCCCTGTCAGCTCCGTTCTGCTCACAGTGTAAGTCTCGCGAGAGCCGCGGGTGACGTGAGACTTACACTGTGAGCAGAACGGAGCTGACAGAGGAGCTTCACGGAGGAGGAGGGAGCTGACAGGAGCTGCAGGAAGGTAAGTAAGAGCTCACTGCCAGCCCCCCCCACTGAACTGCCAATGCCACTGGACCACCAGGGATTCGATATTATTATTTTAATATTATTTTATTTTAATAATATTATTAAAATAATATAATCTTAAAATAATAACATTATTTTATTATTATATTATTATTGTAATATTTGCATTATTTAAAAAAAAATAATAATAATTTTGTCCCCCCTCCCTGCTTGTTGCCTGGCCAGGGAGGGGGAACAAAAAAACATTTAAAAAAAAATAATGCAAATATTAATATAATAATAATATAGTAATATTATTATTTTAATATTATATTATTTTAATAACAATATTTTATTATTATATTATTATTTTTAATATTTGCATTATTTTATTTTAAATGTTTTTTGTCCCCCCTCCCTGGCCAGGCAACAAGCAGGGAGGGGGGACAAAAAAACATTTAAAAAAATAGTAATGCAAATATTAATAATAATAATATAGTAATATTATTATTTTAATATTATATTATTTTAATAACAATATTTTATTATTATATTATTATTTTAATATTTGCATTATTTTTTTTAAATGTTTTTTGTCCCCCCTCCCTGGCCAGGCAACAAGCAGGGAGGAGGGACAAAAAAACATTTAAAAAAAAAGTAATGCAAATATTAAAATAATAATAATATAATAATAAAATAATATTATTAAAATAATATAATAAAATAATATAATATTAAAATAAAAAAATTAAAATTAAAATGCCCTCCCCTCACCCAGTTTACACAAACTGCACAAACACACACACTGCATTCATTATATATACACACACAAACGCACACACTGCATTCATTATTTATAAACACACAAACACACACTCTGCATTCATTATATATACACACACAAACACACACTCTGCATTCATTATATACACACACACACAACACACAAACACACACTGCATTCATTATATACACACACAAACACACACTCTGCATTCATTCTATATACACACTGTAAATAAATATTAAATTTATGTAATTTTATTGGGATCTAATTTTATTTAGAAATTTACCAGTAGCTGCTGCATTTCCCACCCTAGGCTTATACCCGAGTCAATGAGTTTTCCCAGTTTTTTGTGGTAAAATTAGGGGCCTCGGCTTATATTCGGGTCGGCTTATACTCGAGTATATACGGTATTTTAATGCATCTACACATTTTTATCAGATGATTTACATTACAAGAATCCTTCCTTGAAGACTTCTGCTGCCCAAGCTTGAAGTTCAGGATCTTTAGTGACCATTTCATCACTCTTGTAATAGTAATTGACAATGCTTGACACCAGCCTGGTTCATAAAAGAAGAATCAGATTTTGGAATAAGGTAAAGAATTTGGGTTATTTAAAATTCAAGATGGGAATTTAGGTCTAGAAAACTGTCTCTAAACAAGTCAAGCAACATACAGGTGATACTCGAAACATTAGAATATCATCGTAAAAGGGGAAACTAATATATGAGATAGACACATTACATGCAAAGCAAGATAGTCCAAGCCATGTTTTGTCATAAGTGCGATGATTATGGCTTACAGCTCATGAAAACCCCAAATCCACAATCTTAGTAAATTTGAATATTGTGAAAAGGTGCCATATTCTAGGCTCACAGTGTCCCACTCTAATCAGCTAAGTAAGCCATAACACCTGCAAAGGGTTTCTGAGCCTTTAAATGGTCTCTCAGTCTGGTTCAGTAAGAATCACAATCATGGGGAAGACTGCTGGCCTGACAGTTGTGCAGAAAACAATAATTGACACCCTCCATAAGGAGGGAAAGAATCAAAAGGTAATTGCGAAGGAAGTTGGATGTTTCCAAAGTGCTATATCAAAGCACATTAATAGAAAATTATGTGGAAGGTGGAAGGGAAAAGTGTGGAAGAAAAAGGTGCACAAGCAGCAAGGATGACCGCAGCCTGGAGAGGATTGTCAGGAAAAGGCAATTCAAAAGTGTTGGGAACTTTCACAAGGAGTGGACTGAGGCTGGAGTCAGTGCATCAAGAGCCACCACACACAGACAGATCCTGGACATGGGCTCAGATGTTGTATTCCTCTTGTCAAGCTGCTCCTGAACAACAAACAACATCAGAAGCGTCTTACCTGGGCTAAAGAAAAACAGGCCTGTTGCTCAGTGGTCCAAAGTCCTCTTTTCTGATGAGAGCAACTTTTGCATCTCATTTGGAAACCAAGGACCCAGAGTCTGGAGGAAGAATGTCAATATGCCCTTCCCATCACCATGAAAGCTTCCCAAGAGACTAAAGACTGAACAAACCAGAGTTATGGATCTTTTGGTACAGGAAGACCTTTTTTGCATCATTAAGATCAGTCCAAGGGTCTGTGGATTGGAGGAAGCCTCTGAGCTGCAGTTCTAATCCCCTGTTAAAATAAAAAATTAAACTATATAATCCTGTGTGTTAGAGAGTCATATTAACAAGATAAAGCCCAGCATACCACAATATGTGTATTTTACATTGTGCTTTGACTGGCAGCTTGTTTTGTAGAGTATGGATTGCTGTGCCAAGTGGAACCCAAATATTGTTCCCTTGGCTTGTAACACCAGTCATCATTTTGTATATATACAAAAAAAAACAGTGTATATACACAAAAGGGAAACCTGCAACCAAACTTTTATTAAAGGAAATGTACATGGAGCATTACTGTATGACAATTCTTCCCTGGTATTTCTCTATATTTTCTTTGTATGCATGGCAGGGGGAAATAAAAACACTAGATCGGGACAAATTGCTCGGCTTTTTATTGTAGTCTGCATTTTACTATTAGAGACTAAGCTTCCTGATCTCTCCTTTAGAACCACCCTGCAAATGTGTGTTGATTAATCTACTGTTGACATTTAGAGAGTTACCCTCTCAATATTGAGCCATCTGTTGTGGAACCCTATTTTCTCAATACTGTTTGGGGACAATAAAGTTTCCTCCACCTAGACTGCCCCATGATAGGATCTGATGTTCTTAATAGGAAGTCAGCCATTGCTGGCAGTATCCTGTATTAGATAGAAGCCTCACTACATACATGTCAACCCCAGAAAATCCAAAGTTGGCGTATTTCTGGAAGGAGTATCTTAAAGACATTTAGTTATAGCAGACCCCATAACAGCCAGATAAAAAACACAAGCATGACAAACATAGATGTTCAGTAAGCACTTTTACCTAAAGGTGTAAAACCATTCAACCCCCAAGTTGCCTCCAACACAGATCTCAACTACCCTGTGGCATCCTGCTTTTGAAATGTCAATTTCAGGAAGTGAGGAGGGCCACCGGGCAGGTGCACTGGTGAATGGCTGAGGGCGTTAAGCTTGTAACCGTGTGTGGTTCCCTTATTTACCACTATAATGTCTTAAAGCATAGAACTTAGTAGGGCTAACCATAGAGATATCTTAGCCATAATTTTATATAGTGTAAGAGATCCTCTATTTAACATATATAAATAATTGAGAATACAATATAAAATAAGGATTGTCTTGGAAACAAGATTGTCTTTTTGGACATTTATTATATAAAAATATAAAATCCATTATAGCAGAGTTTATAAAATTAAATTACATGCTTGCAAATATAATTAATAGGTTAACATACCCTTCTGAACATGTCATCATGTCAGCCTCTCTGTCATTTTAAGATGGAGCAGCGTCTGTCTCCAAGTCTCTCCTCTGTGTGTTAACATTTAAAAGTACACCTATTTATACCTTAGGTGTCTCCATTTTGGGGTTATTGTAGTTCTTTTACTTTATTCAATTTAGGACCTCCCTTAATTTGGCAAACATACAAGGCCATAACTAAAGGGTGCATACGTCATGGAAATTTTCCTGACTTAGTTCAAGATGGCATCTTAAAGTCTGAATAGGTTATCTGTTGTTTATACTAAGTCGTAAGTGTACAGTCGTGGGAGATTCCCGGATTTGGGGAAGTTCCATTAACTTGGGGTTACCACAGTATATTGTGTACTGCAAGAGTCGTAGCATAGCCTTGAAGCTTGTTTATGCATTATTGTTATTGTAATTCGTCTGGGACAAAATGGCGCAAACATATTATGCACTGAGGTTATTGCTTAAAGAAACAGTTATGAAAAACAATATGTTCCATTTCTAACACCTTGTCAGTTTGCAATATCTCTTAAAGACAAAGTACACAGTTTAAGAAATACAACATTTCATTCTAAAACTTGTAATATTT